CACATATAAAAATCAAGGAGATGGGGAAGAAGGAAGGGGAACTACAGTATTTCAATAGAAAAGAAAGGTTTACCACAGAAATTGTCAAGTTTAAAAACTTTTCTATAGGCTCATTGTACTCTGAAGCCAGATGGAATTCCATCCAATTCAGAGCTCTTGGAAGCTAATTTCCCAACAAGATTTGATATATCCAAGAAAGTTAATTGCTTATTATACATATTTTTAAAGTCCTCTGAGAGCATAATGCTCTGTCTGTAAAGTCTGCACTGTCACAAATTCTAGGGCTACACCCGTGTCTGTGGGGCATGTTCAAGCACCTACATGTTTGTCTCCCCACCTGAACACAGTGTGGTGACACTGCCATAAGGAAGAAACTCATACAATGCTCAGGTAAAAGATCCTGAACTATGGAATTCATGGAAGGCTTAACTGTGATCCTACACTGGTAATGGACAAAGACAAGATGTGATACAAAAATTCATTTTGACACTATGAAACAGGATGTAAATGACAGAAGAAAAAAGACAAAAAAGGCATCAGACTGAGAAATATGTGAAACCACAAGAGACTTCTCACACTGGACAACATAGTAGTGAGGAAAGGAGACATAGCGATGTGCACTTTCCATTCAGATCACCCATGTACACTGCTCTGGGCCTGACACTGGAAATGAAGGCTCAGAGCCTGAGAGATCAATAGCAGGTCCTGATTGCTGTGACTTATCTTTAAAGCTTGGCTGCCTTATTCTAGGAGCTTTATTCTAAACTCCAGGAGTTCAGATAGGCTGTCCCACCAAGTTCTGAAAGCTCGACCTTTGGTCTTCTTGTAGATGCTTTTCTTTGGTTGTTTTTCCAGAGGCTCTGTCATTTTGTTTGGTGCCCTCCACACTTTTTTTCCCACCTTTTTGTTTGTTAGTTGTGAAGCTTTTTTCTCCTTTAGTCAAATCAGCTAACAATCCACTGAACTTACTTCAGTAGCTGTAAGACCTTTCTGAAGTGCATTCAGTGGTCAAGAATATTCTGAGACAATATAATTGAAACTTCTTTTCATTATGGAGCTCCCAGTACCCTTTTACAGGATGGAAGAAATTAGAAAACCACACAGCATAGTCTAGTAGCACTAAGGCAACACAGGAGAAGAAAGGTAACCATCCCCATGTTTTGTCTCTCTCTGAAAATCAAAACTAGCAAAAGCAAGAGGGGCCAAAAAAGAACTTCAGAACACAGACTACTGGAACACAGAGGGTGGGGAATATTTACTTAACAGCCTGTCTCAAATCATCAGCCCCTAAACTGTCATATTATTGTCTTTCATTCCTGTGAGGTATCTAATACAACTTAGACATACATACAAAATACTGGCCTGATAGTCAACATGATAAACGAAGAGTGCTCACATAACTCTAGTGGCAGGTAGAGCCATTCATGGGATGCTGGCTGTAGCTTCACCCCAAATCTGTACCCATTTACTCAAATCTTCTTTTCATTCCTTACTTTTACTCACTTGGAATGGTTTAACACATGTTCCTCAAAAAATAAATGCACACTATATTCCTAGCTGACAGGATGGTGGATCAGATTCACATGTGAAGGCCGGAACATTCCCTTTAAGTCATACAGTTCTGTGACAAAAGGACACATCAAATGTAGATACTTACACTGGATTTAGGCCCTTTTCCACTTGATATGGGAATTTCCACCCATGGTCTCTTCATTGGTTACTGTGGAAGTTTCATTAAAGCTCTCCTGGGGATGTGGGGTAGGGAGCTGACTTTCCTCCTTTCTTCATCAGCCAGTATGAGATTTCCAGTGCTCTCTTCAGCTTGAAAATGTAGGCAATGATTTGATGTCTGACTATAAGTCATGACCCAATGGAATCAAATCTTAAAAGAACTTCAAACTCCTTTAAGGATTTCTGCCTGCTTTTTCAAGGGCCCCAAGGGCCCTCCATGTAGATGTAGCACCTTACCTGTTAGTAAGGTGCAGATGTGAAGAAATCCAAGTGCTTCCCTAAAGAAGGAGGCTGGGGTACAGATAGGGAGGGAGGCACACTCCACTGGCAGGGTGGTCCAAGGCTGCTCTACTGGGTGATTAGAAAACACTCAAAATAGGAAACACATCCCTGATTGAAGTAGGGAAGAAAATCAACTTTTGAATTTCTCCCCCAACATTTGCTCCTCCATTGTCCACTAAAATTTATTTTTGTCAATCGTGGACTACACTGAGTTTGCTGATTTATCATCTTCAACTGTTCTTGGTCACGTTGATTGACAAATTTTTAGACAGAGATCTATGGATAATACTAGGCCACATATGTCATGTCTAAGAGACAAAAAGAATTAGGTATTTTGGTGGATGGATAATTACAAGGATTCCTTACTCATTTCTTCTTCGATTTTCCTGTCCATTGGAAATAATCTGGTATCTTGCCAAAAACTACCCCTGGACACACCCTCATACTTCCAAGGAAAGAAATTTACTGTCTTGAAGAGTCAGTGTTGACCTTCTTGTTATTCATTCAAATTAGTGTGGTTTCTATTTCCAAAACTGATACTAAAGTCTTCAAGTTATAAAAATGATTCCAGATCAGAAGTTGCTAAGTACCATCTTAAAAGTATGTTCAGTGGAGGCCTAATCACTATCTCATTTCAAAACACATTATCAAACCAACTTTATAGCAGGCTTCGATTTGTGTTCATAAGGCCCTGAGGGGTTGGAGGTGGGTGGAGGCTGTAGCGTAAGGGCCCAAAATTCTATTAGCACTTTAAATGTTCAAAGATGTGCTATGTCTATTTGAGAGACAGTCCATTGCTTTCTTAAGCTTCTCAAAAGATTAAGAACCTGCATTTGAAAACCAAATTTTAAATTCAGTCTTAGCAAATGAAAGTGATCTCAGAAAATTTCTGAAATATTGGAAAATTATAATGTTTTCATGTTTGCCTAGATCTTAACTAGACCATGAGTAACCTGAAACCTTTTTTATTCTAAACTCCCTAGTCTGGAGTGTTTATTCCTCAGGAAATCATTAAGTAAAACTGAGTATCAAAACGGAATAAAATAGCCCAATATTTGGGTTACTAACAATTTCTTATCTTTTCAACAAATTAACTAATGAATTCCTTTAGAAAGTATCAAACTTAAATCCTGTCCATATAATTTACAAAAGTTATCATTGTTCATGCAATACTGAACTGAAACATCATTTGTCTTTTTGTACACATATAAAAATCAAGGAGATGGGGAAGAAGGAAGGGGAACTACAGTATTTCAATAGAAAAGAAAGGTTTACCACAGAAATTGTCAAGTTTAAAAACTTTTCATTGATGTTTTCAATATGAAAGATATATTCAAAGATTTAAGTCTTGGATTAAAATTTACCTCTCAAATTAAAACTAGAGAATAAGAACTTGCTTCAAATTTATAAGGTTTGAATGGGAAAAGTGTGCTATTTTAAATTTATAAATGTTCACAACATGTTTAGTTTTTTTGTTACTAGTTTTGTATTTGTTATTAGTTTTTTTGTTTGTTAGCATCAGATTTTCTCTTGGCATATTTAAAGGTCCTGCTTTGAAAATCTGGGCTATGTGCCGTTAAACAAAGATGAACTAATTCCAAAAGCAGCCACTGAATATGAACAGTGCCTACTTTTCAAATGGACTAACATGCATCCTTAGTTCACAAAGATACATGAATATGCATTTAAAGCAAAAGGAATTCTATGCTGTGAATACATAATACACAAATCTCTGCTTTATACATTTACTTACGAACCCAACATTTTCCAATGTATATTCACAGACCACATCTTAACAACTCTAGGCAAGCCATTATAGTGCATTCCTGTCAGATGGAATATATGAATACAGAAATTAATGTGGCAGGTGCATGGATAAGCCTCCAGACTCAGGATTTTAGTTTTTGTTAAGTAGCAGTAAAAATGCAATACAGAACTTATTGAAAGGTGAAAGCTTAAAGACCTTTCCGAAAGACACTCCTCAGAGGCTATGTTAAGGCTACTGGAAACTCCAAAAACTCAAATGAAGTTACTAACCAAAAATAAAATAAAACATTCAGGCCACCATGATTGGCAGCTCTGGTTTTGCAACCAACCCCATAATTTTACCTTGCAGGAGGACAGCAGCACCTCCTGACATGGCCTTTATCAGCTACTGGTGGTGTGTGATGGAAATGATTGATGCCTCAGGCACTGATAATGGCCTTGAAAATACTTCGTGCCTGCAGTTCCCATTGCCAGCTGTTTCCCAGAACAGGATAAGGACGGGGTGATCTCCTTACTACCCTCCCACTGAGATGAAATTCTGAAACTGTCCTGGGAAGACAAGGGAGCCCTTGGCAGATACCAAAGGTCAGTGGTACTGGTTTTTGGCATCTTAATGCCCTTTGCTGAAACAAGAAAACAATTAGAGTAGGGGAATATCTCTACAAAGGCAAATTTTATTTCCATCATACTTTTAAAAAAAGACTCAGTGAGTGCCCCCTCCTCAACCATTATGTAAAAAGTCTGGGGATCAACATGCAGTTAAGCTACCTAAATTGCAGTGACTTAAGACTTAATCATGCTACAGGACAGGATAAAAGCTTTAATCCTAAACATTAAATACTGCATTAAATGGTTTAAAGGAACAACCTGCTTTGAGCTCTGCTCATTCATGCAAGGATTATACAATCTCAATGCCCTAGCTAAATTCCTAATGTTTACCTAATGCATGGGTAAGCCTCCTATAGAAGATGGGTCTCTTGGATTTAAACGGAAATAGTAACTTTTTCCCCTTTCATATTATATTATGGCAGAGCTTACTCTTGAGCCCGTAAGTCTAAATCAGACACTGGAGCTTTAATTATCTCATGGCAGAAACCCTAACAATACCCTGGTCATCACAACCAGCATTTACACCAGAGGACCCCAACTGTGAGTCTGGGGATATGAGTCCTGAACACAGTTTGGAAGATCCACCACAGAAAATGACAAAAATCACAACACAGAGTCAACGGTTTATAAAATTATTCAGGTAACCACATTTCACAGATAATTTTTGTTTGCCATCTATTCTTCTCACTTGGGCAGCAGATGGAGGCAGCGAGCAACAGCAGTAAGGCAGCCCATAGCTAGCTGAAAAATGACTTGCAATGAATGAAAGAGGTGGCAGGAATATCCAAACATAACCTCAAAACACTTAAATATTGCTAAAAAGCCCTGGTGAGGCTTTATAAAATGAATCAAGGAATGAAGCTTATATGAGAGTGATATTCTATATATCAAATATCTCTCTGTGTGTGCTTATGTAACATATATGCATATTTGCATATATCTACCTATATGGCACACAAATTTACTTAGGGAAAGCAGCCTGGCAATTAATTTGGAACTCAAATGACATGGTTACACATAGATCATAATTTCTAAACACAATGTTAGTAAAACAAAATTTATTTGTAAAACAGGACCTGTTATATAAAATGGCACATAATCAAGTTATACAAAAATACAAAATTTCTTTCTGATTACAGTTCTAGTTGCAAATAATAATTAGAAAGCATTCCTGGTGGCTTCCAAATAGCTGAAATTACAAGCATATGGAACAGGGAGCATCAAGAGTTGGTGATGCTGGGATGTCCAAGTGAGTAGAACCTATTTCCCAAATTAAAGACTTACATCAAGTCATTTTGGAGGGATACCTCCTAAAATAGCTAGCTCTGGAATGTCTTCTGTTTTGATACCCATCTTTCAGACTTTTGCCAATCCTAAATTTAGTTCCCAATGTTTCTTAATGTCCAAAATCTGTGTGGCTATGAAACAGAAGGTATTCTGAATTTTCTTACATGATTTGCTCTCTCACTATTTGGATAATTGTTAGTTACATAACTGTGTTTATTCCATTTCAAATGATTTTTATAAAAAAGTACAATGATATTGTCTGGCAATATTAGATGTTAGATGTTAACTTCTAGAGAATAATTTTTTTTAATTGTTGCTCTCACAATGTTGGTTTCCCAGATCTTGCCAAGACATGAACTTTTAACTATGTGTGTGTGTGTTCTTTTTCATCCAGACTCTTATTGCAAATATTCTGAAAAATCAGAAATATTACATGAGCTTTGAAAAGAAACCAAGGCAGTTAGCAAATTTTAGCCTAGCTTGAGTAAAGAACACGGATACTTAAAAAAGAATACAATTTACCTTTTGAGGCAATTTAAAGGTCCAACCCTTTGAAAGGAAGCACATTAGCGAACAGCTGCTTATTAAGCCCTAGTGACATTAATAGTATACATTTCCATAATACCAGTCTAATTCATTGTCTAATTCTGGTAGGAGGCAATGCTTTCTTTCAAAAGATTCTCCTTCTGTGGAATGATAAAATGCTGAGGCTTTTTTTTTTTTACAGAGCCTGTATTTAGTGCAATAAGTTTAAAAAATTTGCTCTGAAATATTTACTTTACATTAACAAAAATAGCTTTTCTTAAAAAAATTGTAACAAAAAGGAGTTATCGCATAAACAGATCATGAATTATTCTTAGCAAATTACACTTTTTTTTTTCTTAAAGCATTCACCATTACAATAAGCAGAACAATGGAATATTAGCCATTCATATCTGGTAAGCTTCAGGAATAAAAAACAAAAATACCCCAAAAAACCCCCAAACCCATCCCCAAACAAAAAGAAAGTTCAACACTTGAAGATCAAAATGTTAACCAATTCTTCAGTTAAACATTGTAGAATTCTGGATACTTAATGAATTAAGCCAAGAAGAGGAGCACCTGCCAGTATGTTGTCAGATTTTAGAGAAGCATTTGAATAAAATAGCCACGTAGCCCTAAGCCACTGAAGTTCCTCTGAAGCAGAGACCCCCACACTGAATTTTCAGTGCTTTGTATTCCCGTTTTTCTCCTTTCTTTATTCCTCCCAGCATTACTTCATCTGCAAACCAACACACAGAAACTTAAAGGCTAACCTTGCTGGGTGCCCCAGCTTCCTTTCAAACCAGGCACACAAATGTGTGGGGGATGCTACTAAAATCAAAAGTGAAAGAAAGACAGAATATAAGAAAAAAGTTTGCATAAGAAAGATTATCTACCCTTTTCTTTTTCGCCTACTCTCTTATAGAAGCATTAGGGTAAACTACAAATACCTGAGGAGTTGGTTACTTTTTAATGTTGGCTGACAAATGCATGAACTATTATGAAAATTCCCATACTGGGCCACTTGTATGTTTCTAAAAGTAAAATGACATGGCTTCTTTAATTGGGGAAAACTGATTGGAGTCATTCCTCATTTATCTGAAAGCATATGCCTAGTCTCATTCTACTAGGACTTATGCATCAGTAAAATAAGACCTTGATTTTATGCACACATCAGGGAAATCATCCCTGAATAAACCTTAGACAGGATTCAGTACAATTATTTTACCTAATTTAAATAACTAAAGTTAAAATCTCCTCTAAGTTATCAAAAATGTTAATCAGATATGAATTTTAACATTTCCATTAAGACAGTTTACAATTGAAAACATTAAATGACGGCAATTGCCTTGTAAAAGCCACCCGTATGAAAGGAGTACATGTTTGACAAAAATAAGCATAAAAAAGGTATTAAATCCCTGTTCCTTTTCTCTGATTTTGGCTGATTATGTGTGTGTGTGTATATATACATATACATATATATATACACACATACATATACATATATACACACACCCACACACACAAATACATAGTTATGTGTATATATTGTTTTGGAATGTCAATGGGTTCCATAACCGTCGGCTAGGTTCAAGCAGAACTTGCTCCCGAAGCCTAGAAAACAAAGTCATACAGAGTATAATCTTAGACAATTACCACTAAAAGGAGATCATGAATGATGTACAAATACAGATGGTCACAAACAGCAGCAAAGCAAAATGGACTGAGAATCCTCCCCTGAAACTATATCCCAGGGGCTCAAATCCTTATGAATGTTGAAAGTCACACTTCCTTTTAGATAATATCTGAGATATGCAGAGAATACATTATGTTGTTTTAGGCCCAAGTTTTTTCTTCTTTCCTCTGTAAATTCTTTCCTGTACAAGCAGATGGTCAGAAAATCTCTTTCTTAAACCTCTATATTGCATTGGAAAATTTTTCTAAAATCATTTTCAAATTTTATAGTTTTCTTAACTAGTGAGGTTTTCTCAAAAAAAAAAAAGCCCAAGAGAAAGACTAGAAGTACTTATATTTAGTTCAGTGATCCCCTGTCAAAAGGAAAATTTGAAACCTCATTCCTGAATATCATTTTATAAGCTAAAAATAAACACTAAATTAAATACCCCATTAAGGAAGAAGATAGTGAAGTGAGCTCAAACAGCAGTGTTTCCACAGACATAGTAAAATAGGTATGATGCTCTTTTATAGGATGTTCCTTTAAGGGAATAAATAACATGTAAACTAAACCAAGCAAATACCAATAAGTAATCTTTAATTCTACCAACCCCCCAAACTTTAAAGTAGAATTTCTCAGATAATTCTTTAGGGACATGAACAAGATGGCAGTGGTAGTAGTAGGTGTCAACTCTTATCATACATACTGTGACACAGAGGTAAGAATTAGAGGTACTGATGTGCCTAAAAATTTAACTACCTGGTGGGCTACATTTCACATTTATCTCCTGGGGAGTTTTTTAACCACATAAAACATTATTCTTAGGGAACAAATGCTACAATGACCAAAGCACCAGAAGAATGATGAACATAAAAGATGCATTTTGAGATACAGCAGATTTGAGGCACAGCTATTAATCTGCAATGAAATGATGAACAACATAAAATAAAAGCAAATACTGAATGAAGATCCTAATGCATTTTTTGAGTTAGAGGACATTAATTAAAAATTCAAATTAGTATCAGGTGAAAAAAAACCTCTAAATTTTTGGCTTCTGGTAGAATGCCACATAACCTGGTCAATTCTAGTATTATTACCTATGAGTTAGGGGTTTTGGTAGGAGAGGGTATATTAGCATTCTGGTCTACCACAATTCATCTCTCTTTCACTAAAGAATAAGATAGAAATATATGCCAATTCATGGTTAAACTGGCTAGTCTTAAACCTCCAAATTTTCTCCCTTTCTTTAAATGCTTATTACTTAAGAATAATTTAATGGAAGCTTCAACAATGGAAGACAGAAAAGAAGTTTAAGGATGGTTTGCATTTTAAGATTTTATATGTTTTAAGTTTTAGGCTTGGAACCTATTTCCTGAACAATAAGGAAACCAAAGAGTGGCAAGAGAGAAGCTTTCCTCATTTTTCCCATATACCATAAGGTCGGCAGAATCTTCACTACTATTCCCTTCAGCCTATGTAAAAGTAAGGGGGATACAGAAAGAAGGGATTCCCTTCTTTGGGCAACGAACCAGAGGGAGGGAGGGCTGATTGGCACCTTCTTGCCTGCTCTGGCTGATGAACACTTAAACTAAGAGCTGGATGACCATTCTACATCCTTTGACTTATGATTAGACTGATCTGTGCCTTGGAAATTTAAACACTGACATTTTGACTTTATAATTATCAATGTTACTAAATGTGCAAAACCAAAACAGGCCCTGGAAGGGGTTACAGAAGAAAGAGTTTATATCTAAACATTCTGCTGAGGCTTTATTTTAGGTTGAATATGTAATCATTATGCCTATACATATAGCCCCTACTCCTTAAACTAACCCATTTCATTTACTCTTACATAGTTACATGGGCTTGGTGTATACTGTATGTTTCTTAAGTTGGAAATCTATAAACCAAATGATTTATTACAATATAAAGAAGAAAGAAAAGAGAGTCTTCACCTCACACTTTTGGGCATTATATAAATTAACTGTTTAAGGATGCAAGCTATTAGATAATATTTTGAGATAAACATGCTATTTAAGGACAATATATTTGTAAAGTAAATAAGCAGTAATTAGAGCAAAATATGCTATGGACATCTGTCCTTATGCAATGGTGAGAAAATTTATGGGAAAAGCAACTCAGGATTCTCTTAAACTGATTAAGGTGATCTTCTCAAATGAAAATAGAGTGGTTTTGTATATATATTTATTTTATTTTGTATATATATATATATATATATATATATGTTCTCTGACCAGATATAATTTATCCCTCTCACAATTATGCTGAGGTTGGAGAAGACCAGTTTGTCTTACTGAGTGGGAATTTGCATATGTTGATGGAAATAGCCTTGTTTGCTACTGAAAACAGCTTAAGAAACAAAGTAAGTTCAATCCAGGCAACAGAAGAAAAAGTCAGTAAAGGGGAAAAGACAGCAACATAAACAAAGCCAGTATTAAAAAAAGGGGGAATATGAATTTTAGCAAGTTGAAAGGAATTACTATTATCACCTTCCAAAATGATAAAATCAAACTGTCAGTTCACGTGTTACAATTACACATACAGTCTAATGAAAACACTGACAGTTAAAAAGAAAAAAACAGAAACCACAATTTCACCATAGGGACAAAAATATCCCCTGCCCCGCTGTGAACACTGAAGAAGATGCTGTTCCTTTCAGCTTACTTTTACAGAAGGTGGTCTCAGTTGTGACAAGAATTCTGCCATCCAAGTGATGGGTAAACACACAAACAGAAAGAGCAGCATGTCCTGCGTGACACAGATAACAAAAGCTTCTCCTGAAGAAGTGCAGTCAGTGAAGACAGAGAGAGAGAGGAAGTGAAAGTGAAATTCTTGGGAGGCGGCCACCTCCTCATCTCCACCTACCATCGGTTTGAGCTCTCTGGCATCAGCAACGCCTCCCTTACCAGCTTCTTTCATTGCTTTCCTACTGTTTTCCACAAACTCCTGCAAAATATGGACCACATTGGGTAAGTTCTTAGGCCCTTTCAGACTTCGGCTGGTAGATGTAAACTAAAGAACATTTACATTTTTGACTCCGTATGCCATAGCAATAAGTAATAGTTAAAGAACAGATAAATTTGAGGGGATAGACTACAGTCTGATGATATGAATCTTTTTTCCATCCGTTCACTGTGACAGTATTACTTAGGCTCAAAGAGACAATATTAGTTTTATCTGGAAGAAAAATGCCTAACATTAAAAAAAAAAGACTATTTTCCCACACTTAGAATATTGTTTAATTTGTTGTTTTATTTTTTCCATATCAAGGTTAAATGGAACAACAAGAATGTTTTACTCTTACAGTCTCCTCTTTAATATTTGTACCCTATAAGGAGCAAGAAAGCACTGATACTACTAAGCACATATTGTTTTTACCAAACCATAAATAAGTTTCTTGAAAAAGAATGTCAATCTGGCCTTGAAATTACCCCATAAAGCAGGAAGATAGGGAATAACAACCAGAACCTGTGGTCAGAAGTAGTTAAAATGGGATCATGCCCCAAAGGGAACATTTCCATCTGCCAAAGTTTATTGAACACATCATTAAATATCCACATCATTCTTATAGAAAAAAACTAAAAGGAGAAAAGTTGTATTTTTCACTTTGCTTTTGATCAATGGCTTAAAAAACAAACAAAAAACCTCTTTTTCTAAATGCCTTAATCACAAGAGAGATGGAATGCTCATAGGTCAAATTCCATTATGAAAACAACCAGTTAGAATAATTTAGACATTATGAAATGTCCAAAATTTAGTTGATGGTTTTCAGTAAAGACATAATCAGTACCAAATGGTTAGTTAAATCTTTTGGAATACTTGTGATTTAAAAAAAATCTAGCTTATTTAATAGTATTTGTTTTAGATTTAACTGGATAAATCATATTCTGGGAAAACAGCTTGTTACCTCAGTGTTTAGTCTTCAATACAACCCACTCTTAAGAAAGGAATATTTCACAGCTTAATACAAAGTACAATTTTTAAGGAACATCTTCAATTTGGTAGCATCTGACAATGACAATAGTATTTAAACCACTTTAATATGTTTTCTAAATTAAAAAAAAGCTTTGATATTTTAATATAGGGATGCTGCAGAGACTATGTAACTATAAAGAACCTGAATATAGTATCTGTGTAAAGGCTCAGATCTTGACTAATAGAAAATAATACTACCTGCCAGTCATGGGTTTGTTTAGCCGTATTCATTACAAATGCCTTCAATTTGGCCTGGCATACTTAGGATAATGAGTTTTAATGGAGTTGACAGCAATAATATTTGGAAAGGTGGTTGATGGAAAAAAACAATAGGCACTACAACATGGGAAATATGCCTTTTTGTCTTTGAGCCCTACCTACTTCAGAAAAGGACACTTAGAACAGCAGTGGTCCAAAGTCCTAATTCAAGGGCTAAAAGTAAGGTTTAAAAAGTCAATGGATATCCTCTAACTGCAGAGAGGGGGCAGTAGTATGGAATAGTGTGAACTCAGGACTATTAATGGGTACTGCTCTAGCTAGGAGGATTTGGAATGGTCTCGCCCATGCCAAGAGAGACTTCTACCCTGATTTCCTCAAGACTAACTCCATTCATGAGTGCTGCAGGTTTAATTCTGAATTACTCAGTTGCATATAATGGTAATTCAGTATAAAGACTGTTTTGCAAAATATTTTTATTAGTATTTTTATCCCTAAAGTCATCGAGGGTACCTGAAATACTTACCATCAGCACTTTATCCATATAGAATTCTCTGCCAGGGCTCCCATCATTGTATTTTGTATCAATGGCAAAACACAAGAATAATACATCCACAACCATTTCGTAAATGGACAGGAAGCAATGAGCAACCAGGAAAGCAAAGAGGCAGACAATGATCAGAGGCAGCACCCATACTGTGTAATCTTGCTGGTAGTTGAGCAGCATAATCCCAGCCAAACCTGTGCTGCAGACTATCAGCACCTGGAGCAGAGAGAACAAAGACTACATTTACTATCCCACTGCAGAAAACCACCATTCCTTCATTTGCAGACTTACAACCCTCTTTACTATTTATAAATCTGTTCCATCTCAAATTAGGAAGCATAATTCATATATACCCATATACATATGGATATACATATACATGCATAGAAATGAAAAATCATCTTTTCAATGATTCTGGTTTACACTAAAAATAATCAAGTTTTCCAAATGTTATGCTTGTTCCCTACAACTTCACTTATTTAACATGTGTAGCAATTTTTAAGACAAATATATGCATATTTTAGAAAAAAAATTATGCACATTCTTAGCACTCAGAAGAAAATTACTAACATTTCAAGGTATTGCTATGCATTTTTTTCTAAAGCAGTTTTACATACATGAAATAGTATTACATAAACTAATCATTAAAAGCTTTTCACTAATATTTATAGTTTCATTAGAAGTATTTCATAAATACTCAGCTACATAATTTCATCTTATGGGTAACTTAAAATTTATTTAACCATTCTACAGCTGGAGACTTATATTGTTTTCAGATATAAATTATGTTGCAACAAACATCTCCAACAGCCTTTTCTTTGTTTCATATGTTGTTTCACATAGGATATGTAATAAATTTAATTTGATTTGCTAAGAAGTTTAGATGTGGACTGTCTGCAAGGGAAGAGTTTGCCAAAACATCCATGCTATAAGAACAAAAGGGCTAGCCAATTTGCTTACTGTCAAAGAACCGCATGCTCTGATGCTTTGTCACCTCACATGTGGCACTTGAAATTTTTTATGGTTCTTTCAAAACATTTTATTTCAGCTTTTCAATAACCCTACAAAGGATTTATGGCAAACTTTATCATTCTCATTTCGCAGACTGGGAAACATGCTCAGAGATGCTAGTCAACCTTCCCAAGGTCACAGAGTAGAAGAGCAGACACCATCCAAAAAAGGGTCTTATGATGACTCCAGTGATCTTCCCAGGTTAAAAACTCAGCAAACACTTGGATACTGATACAAAGCACTAACAGGTCCTAATGAATCCTAGACACATTCTTGCCCAGCCTTTCACTTGGTCTAGCATCCAGCTTTAAGTAACAAAGGAAAAGAAAGGGTCCTCAAACCACAGCAGCCTTTATCAGAAATATTACATGAGCTTTGAAAAGAAACCAAGGCAGTTAGCAAATTTTAGCCTAGCTTGAGTAAAGAACACGGATACTTAAAAAAGAATACAATTTACCTTTTGAGGCAATTTAAAGGTCCAACCCTTTGAAAGGAAGCGCATTAGCGAACAGCTGCTTATTAAGCCCTAGTGACATTAATAGTATACATTTCCATAATACCAGTCTAATTCATTGTCTAATTCTGGTAGGAGGCAATGCTTTCTTTCAAAAGATTCTCCTTCTGTGGAATGATAAAATGCTGAGGCTTTTTTTTTTTTACAGAGCCTGTATTTAGTGCAATAAGTTTAAAAAATTTGCTCTGAAATATTTACTTTACATTAACAAAAATAGCTTTTCTTAAAAAAATTGTAACAAAAAGGAGTTATCGCATAAACAGATCATGAATTATTCTTAGCAAATTACACTTTTTTTTTTTTCTTAAAGCATTCACCATTACAATAAGCAGAACAATGGAATATTAGCCATTCATATCTGGTAAGCTTCAGGAATAAAAAACAAAAATACCCCAAAAAACCCCCAAACCCATCCCCAAACAAAAAGAAAGTTCAACACTTGAAGATCAAAATGTTAACCAATTCTTCAGTTAAACATTGTAGAATTCTGGATACTTAATGAATTAAGCCAAGAAGAGGAGCACCTGCCAGTATGTTGTCAGATTTTAGAGAAGCATTTGAATAAAATAGCCACGTAGCCCTAAGCCACTGAAGTTCCTCTGAAGCAGAGACCCCCACACTGAATTTTCAGTGCTTTGTATTCCCGTTTTTCTCCTTTCTTTATTCCTCCCAGCATTACTTCATCTGCAAACCAACACACAGAAACTTAAAGGCTAATCTTGCTGGGTGCCCCAGCTTCCTTTCAAACCAGGCACACAAATGTGTGGGGGATGCTACTAAAATCAAAAGTGAAAGAAAGACAGAATATAAGAAAAAAGTTTGCATAAGAAAGATTATCTACCCTTTTCTTTTTCGCCTACTCTCTTATAGAAGCATTAGGGTAAACTACAAATACCTGAGGAGTTGGTTACTTTTTAATGTTGGCTGACAAATGCATGAACTATTATGAAAATTCCCATACTGGGCCACTTGTATGTTTCTAAAAGTAAAATGACATGGCTTCTTTAATTGGGGAAAACTGATTGGAGTCATTCCTCATTTATCTGAAAGCATATGCCTAGTCTCATTCTACTAGGACTTATGCATCAGTAAAATAAGACCTTGATTTTATGCACACATCAGGGAAATCATCCCTGAATAAACCTTAGACAGGATTCAGTACAATTATTTTACCTAATTTAAATAACTAAAGTTAAAATCTCCTCTAAGTTATCAAAAATGTTAATCAGATATGAATTTTAACATTTCCATTAAGACAGTTTACAATTGAAAACATTAAATGACGGCAATTGCCTTGTAAAAGCCACCCGTATGAAAGGAGTACATGTTTGACAAAAATAAGCATAAAAAAGGTATTAAATCCCTGTTCCTTTTCTCTGATTTTGGCTGATTATGTGTGTGTGTGTATATATACATATACATATATATATACACACATACATATACATATATACACACACCCACACACACAAATACATAGTTATGTGTATATATTGTTTTGGAATGTCAATGGGTTCCATAACCGTCGGCTAGGTTCAAGCAGAACTTGCTCCCGAAGCCTAGAAAACAAAGTCATACAGAGTATAATCTTAGACAATTACCACTAAAAGGAGATCATGAATGATGTACAAATACAGATGGTCACAAACAGCAGCAAAGCAAAATGGACTGAGAATCCTCCCCTGAAACTATATCCCAGGGGCTCAAATCCTTATGAATGTTGAAAGTCACACTTCCTTTTAGATAATATCTGAGATATGCAGAGAATACATTATGTTGTTTTAGGCCCAAGTTTTTTCTTCTTTCCTCTGTAAATTCTTTCCTGTACAAGCAGATGGTCAGAAAATCTCTTTCTTAAACCTCTATATTGCATTGGAAAATTTTTCTAAAATCATTTTCAAATTTTATAGTTTTCTTAACTAGTGAGGTTTTCTCAAAAAAAAAAAAGCCCAAGAGAAAGACTAGAAGTACTTATATTTAGTTCAGTGATACCCTGTCAAAAGGAAAATTTGAAACCTCATTCCTGAATATCATTTTATAAGCTAAAAATAAACACTAAATTAAATACCCCATTAAGGAAGAAGATAGTGAAGTGAGCTCAAACAGCAGTGTTTCCACAGACATAGTAAAATAGGTATGATGCTCTTTTATAGGATGTTCCTTTAAGGGAATAAATAACATGTAAACTAAACCAAGCAAATACCAATAAGTAATCTTTAATTCTACCAACCCCCCAAACTTTAAAGTAGAATTTCTCAGATAATTCTTTAGGGACATGAACAAGATGGCAGTGGTAGTAGTAGGTGTCAACTCTTATCATACATACTGTGACACAGAGGTAAGAATTAGAGGTACTGATGTGCCTAAAAATTTAACTACCTGGTGGGCTACATTTCACATTTATCTCCTGGGGAGTTTTTTAACCACATAAAACATTATTCTTAGGGAACAAATGCTACAATGACCAAAGCACCAGAAGAATGATGAACATAAAAGATGCATTTTGAGATACAGCAGATTTGAGGCACAGCTATTAATCTGCAATGAAATGATGAACAACATAAAATAAAAGCAAATACTGAATGAAGATCCTAATGCATTTTTTGAGTTAGAGGACATTAATTAAAAATTCAAATTAGTATCAGGTGAAAAAAAACCTCTAAATTTTTGGCTTCTGGTAGAATGCCACATAACCTGGTCAATTCTAGTATTATTACCTATGAGTTAGGGGTTTTGGTAGGAGAGGGTATATTAGCATTCTGGTCTACCACAATTCATCTCTCTTTCACTAAAGAATAAGATAGAAATATATGCCAATTCATGGTTAAACTGGCTAGTCTTAAACCTCCAAATTTTCTCCCTTTCTTTAAATGCTTATTACTTAAGAATAATTTAATGGAAGCTTCAACAATGGAAGACAGAAAAGAAGTTTAAGGATGGTTTGCATTTTAAGATTTTATATGTTTTAAGTTTTAGGCTTGGAACCTATTTCCTGAACAATAAGGAAACCAAAGAGTGGCAAGAGAGAAGCTTTCCTCATTTTTCCCATATACCATAAGGTCGGCAGAATCTTCACTACTATTCCCTTCAGCCTATGTAAAAGTAAGGGGGATACAGAAAGAAGGGATTCCCTTCTTTGGGCAACGAACCAGAGGGAGGGAGGGCTGATTGGCACCTTCTTGCCTGCTCTGGCTGATGAACACTTAAACTAAGAGCTGGATGACCATTCTACATCCTTTGACTTATGATTAGACTGATCTGTGCCTTGGAAATTTAAACACTGACATTTTGACTTTATAATTATCAATGTTACTAAATGTGCAAAACCAAAACAGGCCCTGGAAGGGGTTACAGAAGAAAGAGTTTATATCTAAACATTCTGCTGAGGCTTTATTTTAGGTTGAATATGTAATCATTATGCCTATACATATAGCCCCTACTCCTTAAACTAACCCATTTCATTTACTCTTACATAGTTACATGGGCTTGGTGTATACTGTATGTTTCTTAAGTTGGAAATCTATAAACCAAATGATTTATTACAATATAAAGAAGAAAGAAAAGAGAGTCTTCACCTCACACTTTTGGGCATTATATAAATTAACTGTTTAAGGATGCAAGCTATTAGATAATATTTTGAGATAAACATGCTATTTAAGGACAATATATTTGTAAAGTAAATAAGCAGTAATTAGAGCAAAATATGCTATGGACATCTGTCCTTATGCAATGGTGAGAAAATTTATGGGAAAAGCAACTCAGGATTCTCTTAAACTGATTAAGGTGATCTTCTCAAATGAAAATAGAGTGGTTTTGTATATATATTTATTTTATTTTGTATATATATATATATATATATATATATGTTCTCTGACCAGATATAATTTATCCCTCTCACAATTATGCTGAGGTTGGAGAAGACCAGTTTGTCTTACTGAGTGGGAATTTGCATATGTTGATGGAAATAGCCTTGTTTGCTACTGAAAACAGCTTAAGAAACAAAGTAAGTTCAATCCAGGCAACAGAAGAAAAAGTCAGTAAAGGGGAAAAGACAGCAACATAAACAAAGCCAGTATTAAAAAAAGGGGGAATATGAATTTTAGCAAGTTGAAAGGAATTACTATTATCACCTTCCAAAATGATAAAATCAAACTGTCAGTTCACGTGTTACAATTACACATACAGTCTAATGAAAACACTGACAGTTAAAAAGAAAAAAACAGAAACCACAATTTCACCATAGGGACAAAAATATCCCCTGCCCCGCTGTGAACACTGAAGAAGATGCTGTTCCTTTCAGCTTACTTTTACAGAAGGTGGTCTCAGTTGTGACAAGAATTCTGCCATCCAAGTGATGGGTAAACACACAAACAGAAAGAGCAGCATGTCCTGCGTGACACAGATAACAAAAGCTTCTCCTGAAGAAGTGCAGTCAGTGAAGACAGAGAGAGAGAGGAAGTGAAAGTGAAATTCTTGGGAGGCGGCCACCTCCTCATCTCCACCTACCATCGGTTTGAGCTCTCTGGCATCAGCAACGCCTCCCTTACCAGCTTCTTTCATTGCTTTCCTACTGTTTTCCACAAACTCCTGCAAAATATGGACCACATTGGGTAAGTTCTTAGGCCCTTTCAGACTTCGGCTGGTAGATGTAAACTAAAGAACATTTACATTTTTGACTCCGTATGCCATAGCAATAAGTAATAGTTAAAGAACAGATAAATTTGAGGGGATAGACTACAGTCTGATGATATGAATCTTTTTTCCATCCGTTCACTGTGACAGTATTACTTAGGCTCAAAGAGACAATATTAGTTTTATCTGGAAGAAAAATGCCTAACATTAAAAAAAAAAGACTATTTTCCCACACTTAGAATATTGTTTAATTTGTTGTTTTATTTTTTCCATATCAAGGTTAAATGGAACAACAAGAATGTTTTACTCTTACAGTCTCCTCTTTAATATTTGTACCCTATAAGGAGCAAGAAAGCACTGATACTACTAAGCACATATTGTTTTTACCAAACCATAAATAAGTTTCTTGAAAAAGAATGTCAATCTGGCCTTGAAATTACCCCATAAAGCAGGAAGATAGGGAATAACAACCAGAACCTGTGGTCAGAAGTAGTTAAAATGGGATCATGCCCCAAAGGGAACATTTCCATCTGCCAAAGTTTATTGAACACATCATTAAATATCCACATCATTCTTATAGAAAAAAACTAAAAGGAGAAAAGTTGTATTTTTCACTTTGCTTTTGATCAATGGCTTAAAAAACAAACAAAAAACCTCTTTTTCTAAATGCCTTAATCACAAGAGAGATGGAATGCTCATAGGTCAAATTCCATTATGAAAACAACCAGTTAGAATAATTTAGACATTATGAAATGTCCAAAATTTAGTTGATGGTTTTCAGTAAAGACATAATCAGTACCAAATGGTTAGTTAAATCTTTTGGAATACTTGTGATTTAAAAAAAATCTAGCTTATTTAATAGTATTTGTTTTAGATTTAACTGGATAAATCATATTCTGGGAAAACAGCTTGTTACCTCAGTGTTTAGTCTTCAATACAACCCACTCTTAAGAAAGGAATATTTCACAGCTTAATACAAAGTACAATTTTTAAGGAACATCTTCAATTTGGTAGCATCTGACAATGACAATAGTATTTAAACCACTTTAATATGTTTTCTAAATTAAAAAAAAGCTTTGATATTTTAATATAGGGATGCTGCAGAGACTATGTAACTATAAAGAACCTGAATATAGTATCTGTGTAAAGGCTCAGATCTTGACTAATAGAAAATAATACTACCTGCCAGTCATGGGTTTGTTTAGCCGTATTCATTACAAATGCCTTCAATTTGGCCTGGCATACTTAGGATAATGAGTTTTAATGGAGTTGACAGCAATAATATTTGGAAAGGTGGTTGATGGAAAAAAACAATAGGCACTACAACATGGGAAATATGCCTTTTTGTCTTTGAGCCCTACCTACTTCAGAAAAGGACACTTAGAACAGCAGTGGTCCAAAGTCCTAATTCAAGGGCTAAAAGTAAGGTTTAAAAAGTCAATGGATATCCTCTAACTGCAGAGAGGGGGCAGTAGTATGGAATAGTGTGAACTCAGGACTATTAATGGGTACTGCTCTAGCTAGGAGGATTTGGAATGGTCTCGCCCATGCCAAGAGAGACTTCTACCCTGATTTCCTCAAGACTAACTCCATTCATGAGTGCTGCAGGTTTAATTCTGAATTACTCAGTTGCATATAATGGTAATTCAGTATAAAGACTGTTTTGCAAAATATTTTTATTAGTATTTTTATCCCTAAAGTCATCGAGGGTACCTGAAATACTTACCATCAGCACTTTATCCATATAGAATTCTCTGCCAGGGCTCCCATCATTGTATTTTGTATCAATGGCAAAACACAAGAATAATACATCCACAACCATTTCGTAAATGGACAGGAAGCAATGAGCAACCAGGAAAGCAAAGAGGCAGACAATGATCAGAGGCAGCACCCATACTGTGTAATCTTGCTGGTAGTTGAGCAGCATAATCCCAGCCAAACCTGTGCTGCAGACTATCAGCACCTGGAGCAGAGAGAACAAAGACTACATTTACTATCCCACTGCAGAAAACCACCATTCCTTCATTTGCAGACTTACAACCCTCTTTACTATTTATAAATCTGTTCCATCTCAAATTAGGAAGCATAATTCATATATACCCATATACATATGGATATACATATACATGCATAGAAATGAAAAATCATCTTTTCAATGATTCTGGTTTACACTAAAAATAATCAAGTTTTCCAAATGTTATGCTTGTTCCCTACAACTTCACTTATTTAACATGTGTAGCAATTTTTAAGACAAATATATGCATATTTTAGAAAAAAAATTATGCACATTCTTAGCACTCAGAAGAAAATTACTAACATTTCAAGGTATTGCTATGCATTTTTTTCTAAAGCAGTTTTACATACATGAAATAGTATTACATAAACTAATCATTAAAAGCTTTTCACTAATATTTATAGTTTCATTAGAAGTATTTCATAAATACTCAGCTACATAATTTCATCTTATGGGTAACTTAAAATTTATTTAACCATTCTACAGCTGGAGACTTATATTGTTTTCAGATATAAATTATGTTGCAACAAACATCTCCAACAGCCTTTTCTTTGTTTCATATGTTGTTTCACATAGGATATGTAATAAATTTAATTTGATTTGCTAAGAAGTTTAGATGTGGACTGTCTGCAAGGGAAGAGTTTGCCAAAACATCCATGCTATAAGAACAAAAGGGCTAGCCAATTTGCTTACTGTCAAAGAACCGCATGCTCTGATGCTTTGTCACCTCACATGTGGCACTTGAAATTTTTTATGGTTCTTTCAAAACATTTTATTTCAGCTTTTCAATAACCCTACAAAGGATTTATGGCAAACTTTATCATTCTCATTTCGCAGACTGGGAAACATGCTCAGAGATGCTAGTCAACCTTCCCAAGGTCACAGAGTAGAAGAGCAGACACCATCCAAAAAATGGTCTTATGATGACTCCAGTGATCTTCCCAGGTTAAAAACTCAGCAAACACTTGGATACTGATACAAAGCACTAACAGGTCCTAATGAATCCTAGACACATTCTTGCCCAGCCTTTCACTTGGTCTAGCATCCAGCTTTAAGTAACAAAGGAAAAGAAAGGGTCCTCAAACCACAGCAGCCTTTCCTTGTGTAGTGCTGACGACAGGCTGACTGAGAATCCTTCTTCCGCCTTTTCCCTACCATTTATCAACACCAAAACATCTCTCCTTCACTATCATCTTAATCAGGGGTTACAATGCATTAGATGACACTTTGGTTAAGCTATAAACTTATCCCCCTTTCAGATGATTTCAGGAAGCAAATCTGGGTCTGCCCAATACTTTGAAGACACCCCCGCCATTTCTGTGGCAAAAACATATCAATTTTCTCTTAGAGTGACTTATTTTTCAGGGGTGATTTCCACAGGTAACTAATGACAACCATGTTCTTTCATTCTTTCTGGTTTCAATTTTAGAAAGAGTTATTTTTTTGTACCCTTCCTCAAATTTTTTACATCCACCCTATAGGAGGACTGAGGTTCCTGATGCTCTCAATATGCCACTTAAAGTTAAACCACATTTGAAATGTTAAAGGTAATTATAGGTAGAAGGTGTGACTCAGACAAACTAGATGTTGAGACAAAAGCTACTGAGGTGGTAGGTTGGATATTGTCAAGTAAGAAATAACTTCAAGAATTAGTGATGTTTGTCTAAAAAGGTCAAAGAAATGTAAGAATTACTCCCAAATATAATAAAAGGGTGTCATGCATTTATTCAAGCACCGGATACATTAATGGCTCTCAAACCATAGTGGGGCTAGGTATCACTTGGGGAATTTGTGAACAATGTAGATTCCTGGGTCCTACCTCCAGGGTCTGATTGGTTAGAACTAAGATGAAGCCCAGCAATATTCATTTTAAAAGTACCTCAGGTGATTCTGATAAAATACACAGCCTACATGAAGTACGGGTTCATTTCAGTGATCTCCATGTAGGGCACACACACCTAAAGGAGTATTCAAGAGGGTCACCTGGGACTTCTATTTATCTTTCTCACATATTTAAAAGTTCTTTTATACTATGCTTTATAATGCATATTTTAGTAACAGCTGTACATAAATCATTAATAAATAAATATAAATATACTGGGGAAGTATGCTTAATTTTTCTTCTAATAGGATGCATGATTTAAGTTTAGACACTCCTTAATTTATCTTCCTAGAGGATAAATTACTGGTGATATAGTAGAAGAGATTCATGTACAGCGTAGGATGTGAGAAGTGGAATGAAAAGACGATAGTTTGGAGTCAGAAATATGTGGATTTGAATCACAGATTTAATATTTAGCTTTGTGACTCTAAGTAAGTTCATTTAACCCTCCTGAGTCTGTTTTTCCATCTTTAAAAGAGGCTAAATAGTACATTCATCCCATAATTGTTAAAATCAGCATTCTGAAAGTACTTAACACGGTGGGTGCCTGGCAATCTTAGTCTTGCATTTACAATGTCCTTTCCCCAAGGAACCAAGTTTTGAAAGATTTTGTTTACCAATAAAATAACATCTACAAATAATAATTCATGTTCTCATTTGTTATTAAACAAAGCCAAATAAACTATCAACTAGGACATATAATTAATGTTAGAAAAGTATTATCAAAGAGGGAAAATAACTTCACAGAAGTGAAGAGATTTTTGCATAGTTTTGTATAGTTTTATTAGGGAAAATAACCAATATCTACTAGACTTACAAAAGTTTAAGTAGCATGTAAATCTCCATTCTTACCTTTGAGGACCCTACAGACCAGTGATCACAGGTCCCAAGCCACTAACTAGAGAAGCTAAGGGCCCTTTCAAACTTGAAAACATTGTGGGCTACATAAAAATGGAATCCATGACATTATCTTAGTTTTCTTTTTAAATTCAGGGTTTTTAAATTTTAATTTTAAATCTTGAGATAATTTTGAATTCATATGCAGAATTATTTCATGTACCATGTCTCCTGTTCCCTTCAATGGTAACAGCTTGTAAGACTACGGTGCAATATCACAGCCAGGATACTGACATGGATACAGTCAAGACACAATCGACATTTCCACCATCACAAGGATCTTTCATTTTAACATTTTATAGCTACCCTTACTTTCCTCATCTCTAAATGGGTGACCACAAATCTGTACTCCATTCCCAAATGTTGTCGTTTCAAGAATGTTATTTAAATGGAATAATACAGTATTTAATCTTCTGGAATTGGCTTTCTTCATTCAGTAAAGTTCCCTCAAGATTCAGCCAAGTTGTTGCATGTTATCAGTAGTTTGCTCCTGATGTTATGATCTGATGATAAACTATTTCTGCACATTAGCAGACACTTAACTGTAATGAAAGAACCTCATTTCAAAAGATTTACTGTATTCTGTGATCAGAACCATGTTTTGAAAACAGGAAAACTAAATGATGTTTATCTTAGTATATTGGAAACCCAGAAGATTTTGTTGTTTTTATTTTTCTCCTTTTTGGATATCTTGATTAAAAAGATGTTTACCTTTCATGGCTTTAAAAGTAATCTTTGTACAATATTATAAATATTATGTTTTTCAAAATTATACCTTTCTGGAAAACAATTTGGCAATGCACATCAAGAACCCTATTATATACTCTGACTCATTAATTCTACTTCTAGGATTCTGGCTTCAGGAGGTATTGTGGGCAAGGATTTGTATACAAAGGTTTCACTGCAGCATAATTTACATTAGTAAAAAATTGAGAACAGTTAAGTCTAATAAAAATCAGGGGCTTGGTTTAATAAATGATGAGACAATAATTGTATAACCATGTTTAAAACATTTTTAATAAAATAGGAAATGTTCATAATATAATATGAAAAGAAAGATATAAAACTGCTTTTTCTACTAGCTTTTAAATTCTCTCTCTTGACTAGTATATAACTAGAATCCAGACTAGCCCCTAGGACATTACTAGTAGGTACTTTATAAGTATTTGCTGAATGAATAAAAGGTTATGGTAAACCTAAAAAAAATTTTTTTGACAGGTTACTAGGCTGCTGAAAAACTCAAATCCAATTTTAAAACCTTGTATTTTATTATCTATGTATTTTTCCATTATAAAAGGAATGCATACTTAATATAGAGAAATTTATCTTCTTATGGTAAATAAAGTAGGGAGAGGGTTTTGGAATCACTCATTTTCAAAATCCAGTGACAATCATTATTAACATTTTGGGATATTAATTTAATTAAATTTAATTTAATTCTGGCACATTTTTAAACAGTAGTGTACTAGTCTAGTAGTTTTACTCAGCCTTTTCACTTATATGCATTACGTGATTTTATAAACTCAATAAAAAAACATGGTTTATTAGGTAAATAATAGTCTGTTAACTATTATTTCTAACCATTTTTCCATTGTTAGACAGTAAATACAACTGGTTACTATTATAATGTTGTATTTTTCTGTATTTAGAATTATTTCTAGCAGTGCTTTACCACCACCATCCACCAGAATTACTGAATCAAAAGACTTTTTAGAAAAAGGTCCAAGGGTGAATTTAATGTCAGTTGAAGCAATTAAAGCACATAGTGACTGAACGCTTAGAAGTCAGACAGACCTGAGTTTGAACTCCAGCACTGCCACTTTCTAGTTCTCTAAATCTGGGCAACCTACTTAACTCTCTGAACTTTGGTTTCCTCTGCTAGAGAGTGAAGGAAATGGCAGTAGCTCGCCTCTCAGGGGAGGACCTCATATACTTCACATAAAGTTCTTTCCTCAGTACCTGGTGCCCAGCAAGTGCCTCAATCAGAGTTACTAAAATCACCATTAGGATCAAACACTACCACTTAGAATAATTTTTTCCATTAGTCCTCTGTATGACTTACTTTCCTTTTATTTTAATTGCATTGTGTACATATGTTTTTATTTTAAGTGGCTTCATATCTTTTTAACAGTAGAGATAAATTATAAATGTATAAAAACCAAAATGAACATAAGAATATGAAGCCTTCTTGAATTAGTCATATAGCATATAAATAGCAATAGTTAATAACAGTGCCAAACTGTATTCAGTCCTTAACATAGATTCACTCATTCAATTTTTACTATAAGAAATTTCCTCTTATTGTAAAAACATAACAAGAACAAATCCAAGTCATAATGTAAGTTTAATTACACATTTTTAAAATATCATACAGTTTTATAACTCTTCTTAGATGACAGCTGCCTAAGAACTTAAAACTACACAGTGCTATCAATGCCTCTCGACACCAAATATTTTTTCTTTTCCAAAAACATCTTAAAAGCACAGTGGCTGGAGTAGCTTAATTGTTCACTAGTAAGAGATTATTTAAGAACAGCATTTGATGGAATATTGACTAATATGATAATGAATAATTATGAAGACTCAGAACAATATGAAAAATGATATGATATACTGTGAAGTGAAAAGGGAAGAACATACAGGCATGTATTCTATGATTGTTACACTATAGAAATACAAGCCTATGGAAAACACTGGTAGGGAATATATAAAAACGATTGTTAGGTTATAGTGGTAGTGCCTTTTTCTTAACTCAATTTTTCAAATTTTCTGAGTACTTTATGGTTTGAAATACAGATGTGATGAAACCCAATTAAAACATTATTTTGCAGATTTTAATAGTATAGAATAACTTACCTTCTTAGACACCTTTAGGGTTACGCTTCATTCCCTAACAGGTCTGTTTTAAAGGGGTTTATATACAGTAACTGACAGCTAACATTCATCAAGGACTTACAATGTGTCAAGCACTATCTTAGGTACACTACTTGTATTAACCAGACCAATCCTCACAACTATAGGAGTTTGGCTCTATGATTATCCCAATTTTATAGATGAGCAAACTGAGGCACAAAGTGGTTATGTACCCTGCCTCAGATCACACAGCTAGTAACTGACAGAGCAGGACTGAACTCCAGGCAGTTCAGGCTCCAGATGCAGTACCCCTAACCACTATGCAGACTATTTCTTAATTATTCACAGTTCAAAAAATGTAAGGAGAAAACATGGGCAAATTACTTAACTGCTCTGCGCCTGTTTCTGCATCTATAAAATGAGGATAATAATACAACTTGCTTTATAAATTTGTTGTGAGGGCAAAAAGAGCATAATACCTACAGAATACTTGGGACAGTACTTGACATACATTAAAGGCTTTGTAAGTGCTTGCTTTGCATTACATTGTTGTTCATTTTTTGGTGGGCTATGTAGTTTTAGAATAAAGAGTGAATATATCTATATATATTGTAAAGTTACTATATGTCTCAATAACATAGTTGGTCTTACCTTGCCTAAGAACAACATGAAATCCCCCACTGTGTTGATGGCAGCCACTCGCAAAGCATTCTCCACGAGAATGACAAAGGCATCCTTCGCTGAGGTGCAGAAGTTGGTGCTATTGATAGCTGTGGCTGTGTATGCATTCTGGACAAAAGCATAAAAACCCCAATATTTTCATCAGTCAACGTAATCTTCCTTTATTAAGATACAAGCCAAACACAGTTAGAGGATAGCTTGTATAAATATATGGTTTTGGTGAGGTACAGTTTAAGCACAAGGAAATAAGAGATAATAAAAAAATAATAATATGATAAAAAGGAGCTTTTCAGTTAGGTTAGCTTTGTTGCTTTAAAAACACTGATATTTATGAAAACACACAAACCTTTCCAACATCTATTAAATTCCTTCTTGTCTTAGCAAATCAAACTTAATTTAACCTTTTGTAGACATCTCAGGTTCATCACTACTAATATCAGTGATGCATTATCACCATTTCAGTGATGCCTTAAAACCTACACAAATTCGTAAAGGCATCAGATTGCTGTGCTGTTTTATCTGGACACCTACCATCATCTTGGTGCTTTCTTCTATGCTGTCACTTCTCATGGCTGTTGTAGAAGACAGTATTTGTTGCTGAACACTCTATGCCCCTGCCTCCTAGGAGCAGGACACCAACTCCCCATTGAGAGTAGGTCCTTCTCTATTTTCTTAGAGTCTGCATGAGGCTGACATGACCTCCAGCTCTGGGGTCAGACCTTGACTGATGTAAGCCAATCGTATTCTATCCACCCAGCCATGACTGGTTCAGGGACTGGCACATTAACAAATCAGAGCCAATGAAAGATGCTCCCTGGGGCTTCTGGGAAAAAAGAAATTTCCTTTCTCTTCCAGGGCACTCCTGACATACTAGCTCTTCCTTTTCCTGGACAGCCAGGTGTGAGGGTATAAACTGCCATGGCTGTTTTGCCAGCCTAATGGGTAGAACCTGGAGCTGCTGGAGGTCACAGTATAAAACTGAGGGTTTCATGGAAGTCAGAGCACAGTGAAATCAGGGCCTTATACTTGGTGACAGTGTTTGCATGATTAGGAATTAGCTAAATTTCTGCAATTCTCAGTTACAGATGCTAATAAATTGCTCAGAAACTCTTTCCTCTTCTCACTCCCCCCTTTCTGACTCTTTCTCTTTTTTAGGACAGACTGAGCTGGCTTTCTGTCCTTTATAGTAGTACTAAGTCCCAGCTGACACACTTGAATTATAACTGCTTCAGCTTCCCCATCTCCTCCTTGCACCACTAGTTACAGACTTGATTTTTCCCCCTTCTTTTTACATTACATTCTAGAATAGCATTAGCATTTTCTGGGAAATGTGAATAAATACTACAATCAAATACATATAAGTCCTAGGACGGGAATGAACTTTGACTAAAACTTAATCATCCTGAGGAATTCTGGTTGAGTGCTGACTTAAGAAACTGTTGGTGAGTCCAAAATGTTGAAGTTGCTGGAAAACTGCTGGACACAAAGGGGCTACTTCATATTGTGTTGTCTATAAAGTTTTAAACACTGAGCTCGGGAGACACAGTCTTTAATTTATGAATGTTCCAACTGTACATGCTTGTTAGTTATTAGGAAACTTGTATGAAGATGAGGTTTTTGAGTCATCAAAAATTTAATTTGCCATTATATGATTAAATTCATTGATTAAAAATGCAGAATATTCCTAGGCCAAGGAAAGAGTACTGTACTGAGTTGGTTACTATGTTTGGTTCATAAACTTTCTTTTAGTATTGGAGCAGTAGGAAATTATGGTGCTCTTTGAGAAACAGTATGATTTTAGTATATGAAATCCCATAGTATAAAGTGGGGTACCTTATTATCAGAATATACTGCTATATTATGTTGCAGGTCTTTTTATCTCAAAAGCTAAAGTACGCAGCATTTTAAAGAACTCATAGTTAGGTTTTTCTGGTAACATTCATTTGCTGCTTGTTCTTGTATATTGTCCTCTGCTAGTGCCTCTTATCAGTTCAAAGATATCAGGCATCAAGAGTTAACTACCTAAACCCAGTGGTCCACATTTCTTCATCTTCCACAAAGCTTCTTTTGAAACATTGTCAATTGACTCAATGACATCAAAATAAATTCTTGGCTAATAGTACTTCTGTAGAAAACCATGGAGAAAGAGAGGTACAAAAATCTCAATCATGATATAAGTTGGTCATGGAGAATATAGTCAAAATAACCTCTTCAGGAAGAAAAATGTGTTTCACATCACAGCAGGCCAATGAAATTTCCCTCCGATTCTACATTTCCTAGTCTAAAAGGATTCATACTAAGGTTCTCAAGACATTCTGAGGCCTTTGTGGCTTTCCCTATTACCATTCACTTAACATTCTGCAGACTAGTTCCTTGACATTTTTGGAGCCCACCCACCTTCTTCTCAGATAGCCTTCCTGACCTTGAACTAAACTACCCACAGAGAAGTATCAATGATTAACATTTAGCTCGTGCCCAACAACTGCTTAGGCAGGACACAGGCTTAAGACTATTCAACTCCCAGAAGATAAAAGATGATCACCACCAGGAACCTTTTTAAAAGGATGCCTATTAGCTATAGTAGTCCCTGGTTGCATTTTTATGTGACAAGATAAAATTAAAAAGTATTGGTCAAGTAGAAGAAAAATGTTAGGGCAGAGGATCACCATGCAGGTAACCTAGGCCTGCTTAGGCACCTGTCTCAGAATACGGTGTCTACATTTTCACATCTTTTCTATCTTTATTTGCAGACTTAGAAATTTTCTTCAAGTTTAAAATCTTTACATAATAACTTACTTAATAGGGGAAAGTTAGATAGCAAAGATAAGAAAATGGGGATAAGAATGTGCAACTGTATGTGTGGATCATTATACATTAAATAAGGGAAAAGGTAATTAGAATTTTCCCTTTCTTATTTTGAGTGAACGATGGAGAGGGCACAAAGTCTAACTTATACCATATATTTCATTCAGTTTGGTTCTAAATACTTGGACTTCGAAAGGGTTATAAGAATTAAAAATGTGTTACAGATCTTAATTTAAATGGATTGTCTTTTAAACTAGCACTTGTCTTAGTTTACAGCATGTAACATGAAAGTTTGAGATGTTTGCATATTCTTTATAATAAACTATACTTTAGTCTTATGTTGCACAAAAACGTGTATATATTTATATTGGAAGCAGTGTGATATCATGGCAAGAGCTAGGCAAACTTATATCTGAAAACTTCTTCTACCTCTAGGTCATGTGATCTGCCCCAAGATGTCACTTTCAATTTTCTCATCTATAAAACAGGGGAAATGAGCCTTCCTTACAGAGTTGTGGACAGAAAGTGATAATATATATTAAGTGCTTAGTATAGTATTAGGTAGTAAGTGCTAAAAAACATTCTCTACAATTCCCACTCATACTATGTAGAAAAAAGCTTTATAATCTCAAAAGCTTATCAGCCAGTAAACAGATACCCAGGTGGTTAAATGTACCACCTCCAAATAGTGTCAAAGTAAATCAAGGCCTGAGTAATCCAAGGCCCAAAAGAAACAGTCTAGTTCTAACAGTCCCTACCTAAAGTGAATTCTATCTGTTGGATTAAATGTACAAGCACCTTCATGTCACATTAAGTAAGCACCCGCAGAAACAATAAGCAGTTTACAGTTTCATCTGTTTATTTGCAAAACTTGAGCACTTATGCTGTAAATATTTAATGAGTTATTTTCTAAAACTAAAGCTCTTTCTTGAAGTCAGCTGTATTTTCCATGGTTTTTGGCATTGGAGCATGGTTTGGGATGATGGAATTTCATACTGTGCTGCAAAATGACCCTGGCCTACTCTACCTCCATATCAATACTCTTCTGTACTATTACCCTCTAAATTCTCTAAGGCAATGTAAGAAACTGATGGCTCATGGACAACTGACACTTTGTGGCTCAAAGACCTATTTTAGTTACCAACATTTTAGTAGCAGGAGATAAAATGGGAACATCCAGAACTCTGGCTTCTCTTGGAAAACTGAATAGAAGAAAAATAGAAGTTAGAAACTATCTATAAATTCTCACATAGCAACAGTAAAGTGTGAGCCACAGTACCTGGCACAATGTAAGTGCTCAATATAAATTAGCATTATTATTTCACTGTACTCTACTGAATACTCTAAGATAATTTCAAAGAGTAAAGAGGTGAGTGGACAAGAAATCTCTGAAAAGTAAAATGAGAGGGATTTGCATCATAAGATATTTGAGATATATAACAAAGCTATAAAAATGAAATATTGCAATACTGGTATAAGCATAAGCAGATCAATGATACAGAACAGAAAGTCCTGAGACAGACTCCAATATGATATATAAGAATTTAATACATGATTAATTTGACATTTCATATCAGAAAAAGGTAGATTAATTCCTAACTGGTTCTGGGACAATTGATTAAATCCCAGACAAACTAAAGATGTAAGTTTAAAATAAAAAAAATAAACCTCTGGATGACTGTAAGAAAAAAATAGAATTTTTATTTGATCTTGAGGTGAGAAAACCTTCCTAAGCAATTAAAGCCAAGTAAGAATCCATAAAAGAAAAGTTTGAAAGACCTGACAAGAGAAAAAATTAAACTGTATAAAAGAAACTAGCTAGGGAGAGTATTATAGAATATGAGTTGTCACTCACTAAGGACTTGCTGTGTCCAGGTACATACTTGAAGCATTGCAGACACTCTCTTCACCTTCACTGCAATGGACACTACACACTATTATCATCCCTATTTTATAGGTGAGGTTTATAGACTATCAGACATTACTATACTGAAATGCACTATTACCAACTCTTCTCAAAGCTAGTAAACAGTATTTAAATGAAAATAACTGTTATGTAAGCATGGTGAGATTATGGGTGATGTTATATTCTTGTTTTGGCTTTCCAAACTCTTTAATATTTTATATTACACTTATTTTTGGAGAAAATAGATACATCTTCAGAACTACCTTTTGGATGATCTTTGCCATAGCTCCCTTATCTTACAGTAAAACACTGGGATTTCTTTATAAAGAAAATAAAATGGTGGGGAGCACAGGAGAGCAGTAACATTTACTAGGTGCCTCCCAACAGCCAGGCATTCTAAGAGTTGATTTTTCTGCATTATATTTCATCCATAACTAATGGCTATGAGGATAGGTATATTTTTCTCCACTTACTGCAGAAGGAAACTGAAACTCACTTAGCTTGCTAGCGGTTACACTGTTGGGACTGGAACACATCTTCAACATCTGGATCTCTCCACTGTACAACACCTCCCAATTATCCACTGTACCTTCTCCAACAAGGCTATGAAAGTATGGACTCAATTCCATGTGTATGGAAAAACTGAACTTCATTTTCAGGAAGCAATGATCAATAACACAGACAAAACAAAAGGTGTAAGCCAACTGTTATCTAGATGCCAGGTATGGCTTGATCTCTATAAGAGCACTAAGCTGCTAACTGCCTAATGTGTGTGACAGCACTGAGAAGAGCACCTCTTCATACCCCAGCAGACCACACACTTACACCTTACTGCTTTTTTTGAATTTTAAAAAAGTCTCTGGAACTCATCTATTCAGTACTGCCATGATCCCATACATTTTAAATATTTCAAACAGATGGGTGCCCACCTAGCTCTGAACTATTTCACAGGAACAAGGATGAAAAAATTCCACTGGCAACTGATTTTTATGCTTAACTTGTCAAGCCCGGAAGTTTTCTAATGTCTTCAATCTGTTGACCTCATTTTAAATGAAATTCCTATGAAAACTGAAGACATGAAGCCCCACTGGAAATCAGTTCCCCACAGCACAGTGCTTCGTATTCCCGAACTGAACTATTAAGAACCACTCTCCCTAAACCTTTACTCATTTGATTTTTTGCTATTTTAATGTCTTCCTTGAATCTTCAAACATCATGCCTACTTAATGAAGAGCTGGAGTGGTCAAAAGCTGTACAAGAAAGAGCAGTTTGCAGCTTGAGATATATCTCAGGACTGTTGGTACTAACTCGCTGACAAATGCTTAGCTTGGGATGGGTTGAAAACTCCGGACTTTTTCACCTGGTTACTGAGCATCTTGACATCATGTGATTTGTTTCTTCCTTTGGTATAACTGCACATCTCCTTTCTGAGACTCTTTCTTACAGTTTTATATCACCCTCGTAGTCTTTTTAAACCCAAATATTCACTGATTAACTAATAATTCATTCAGAAAACATTTAAAGACCACCTATTGTGTATCAGGTACTGGGATAATTTCTGGAGAGACAAAAACAAGGTAAGATTCCTGTTTTTAAGGAACTAAAAGTCTAAATATGGAAAGAAAGAGGTAAACAGCTTCCACATAGTGTTCTCAGTATTTTCACAGAGGTATGAACTGGTCATGTGAAAGGTCAGTGGAGGGCCTGGGATAATAAGCAAGGCTCTTTGAGGTGATACTTAGGCAAAATCATTAAGGATTAGGATCAGTAAGTGTTGGAAGGAAGTCATTCCAGGCACACTTGGGAGACTGTAAGAGCAGAAGGTGCCTGTGGGGAGGTGCAAAGATAGAGAGCTGGGTTTAGCATATCTCTCTGAAGATAAGCTTTTGGTGATGGGTAGAAATGTAATGGTGAGTATCTTCAGTGCATCCATCAAGTTTTTGATAAGGATGACTCAGTCCCAAACCAAATTTTAAAGAACATAAGTTTTCAGATTGTTATGCTGTTGCTATTTTAATAATGACCTTTCAAACACTTTACATCCATAGACTATTATGACCTACAAGAATGTATTTTGCCAATGAAATGTCACATCAACTTTTTCATATTAACCATAGAACTGCAAAAAAGTAAACTCCAGGCATGCTCAACATCATGGCCACAGGACTATCAACCGATGACTATCTGTGAATGAATGGAAAGTACAACACTACCATTCAATCACTTAGAGTCAAATGGTGAGAAAGTCAGTTTTTATCTTTGGTCTATTAGATGAGGGCTTCAGTACATTAGAATTAATTTTCAGAGAATGGAGAGAAGTAGTTATTAAAGGAAAAAAAAAAGAAGAAAAGATGCTCACAGAGAGTGCTACATGCTCAGACACAGAAAGACAGAGGACCAACCTGATCCCCTAAGAAATGTCCCATCAGTATCAATTCCTCCATTTGACCTTAGAAATAGCACTTCATTTAATATTCACCACACCATTATCACAGTCTTTAGCATTTGCACCAAAAAAAAAAAGTATCTGCATAGAAAGCACACTGGCTTTGAACAACTGTAGATGGTTACAAAAAAGAGTATCATAATGGTTTTTCACTAAATTAAAGCTTTCAAACATTTAAGAGAAAGAACTATGGCTAAAATAAGGAGATTTTCTGGGAAAATCAAAGATGAAAGGATGTGAATTAAGGGGTAAGAGATAAATGCCTTTCCTGAAAGATGAACCCTAATGATACTTTATCCATGTATTGTAATTAATTAAAAATGCCTTGATAAGAATATATGTTACTTTAAAAAAATGAAAATATGATTGAAATAGATATATAAGATCAAGACACAATGTACACCACCATGAAAAAACATAACATCTTTCAATTAAGCTCTTGGAAGATGAAACAATGAATATAACTTTGAAAATGAATGTTAGATTTATTTTGAAAATATTTTACCTGATTTAAATAATTTAGGCACTTTTCAAGACACCAAAGGCAACAAATGCAAGATTTCAGCACACATCGAGCACAAGCATTTTCCTGGAAAGGATGAAAAATGGAAATAATTTAAAAAATCAAAGAACCAAACCACCATATAGAATGTTAGAAAAATTAACATTAAAAAAATCACAACCTATGCTTCAAAGTTTCAAATGTTCCTGTTCTTTTCCCTTAAATTGCAATGGCTGAATTATTTTTAATCAGTTCAAGTCAACATTTAATTAGTACTTATTACATATAAAGTATAGGAAGGCATATGACCAGCAAGGAACTTATAATTTAGTAGGAGAGGGTAATAAAAAAAGCTAACCCTAAAAAGGTGAGAATCAGAATATGATACAGATATGAGTGCTATGAGAGTGGAGAACAGAGAACCAACATCATTTGGAAGATAGGAGGAATCAGGGAAGGTTTCTAGGAAAAGGTGGCATTTGAGTTAAGGTGTGTTGAAATGTATGTTATTTCCACAGTCAAGGATAGAGAAGAGGTTCTGCAGAGAAAGGTGTGTGAGTCAACACAGAGGAAGAGAAACACAGGACACTTTGGGAAACCAGTGATTAGAAGGATTTTGCCATGGCATATGGGGTCCAAGAGTGGGAAAGAAGAGGGAAGGACTGGACTCTCCTTTGCAAGGACTTTGAAGAAAACATTTACAACTTTGGACTTAACATCGTTGGGAGCTTTACCATATGCAGACCTGAGGTCTGGAACGTGCCCACAGAAAACCCAGAAAAGTATTTTCTCCTTACCTTTCCTTTGAGCTGACTGTGAATGTACATAAGGATCATTCGTGGAATTTTGACTAAAGTAATAATGAAAGACCCTTTTGCCACAGTACCGAGGTGATAACGAATAAGGCGATTCACCGATGCCAAAATAGGTGTAAATGGCAAATTCCTTTTATCCCTATTTTAAAAATGACCAAGAAGACAATTAAAACATAGCCTAGATCAGGAGGGAAACACAGGAATGGTTTAGAGTTCAGTACAGTGAAAAATTAGTTCATTTTTCTTATTCTAGCTTCATGACAAAATGGCAAAGTAATATATAACTAATACAACTGCTACAGATGTACTATATAAAATTAATGTTTCATTTCTCCATAGTAGTTTCATGGAGTTCTTATGATCTAACATTTTAAGTTAAATTAAACTGTGCTTTGAAGGTTCTACTAGTAAATACTTAGGGCATTAATTTAATTCCAGAAAATGGAACTTAAAAAGATATTCAGTCTAGCCTGGCACCTCATTAAAATAGAAACCTGTAAGGCCTACAGCTTATATTCAGCTCTGAAGTTAGGAAAGGGAGTCACAACACTTATTCTGATAGAAACAAATTAAACAGGCTTGTTGTCTTCAATAGGCTTTTATATAAAGCAAAGGTACATTGTAAGACACTACTCCAAGATTTACTCATCTGCTAAATATGATTTAAGTTATATCATGACTTGCTGTTCTGATTAAGTTTTTGAGAAAGTTATAGGAAAGTATAAAGTAGCAACCTCCTATTTTCCTATCTCCCAGAATCATCAATAATAACATTGTCATATTCACTTCCAATTACTTTTTAAAAAAACGAAAACTCTTACCAGCCTGTCCCATTTCCTTCAGACATAATCATTTAGATGATCTTAAGTTTTGTAACAAGTATGAATTCTCACCTAGTAAAATAGTATGTTACCACGGCTCCAGCCACTGTCATCTGCTGACATGCCAGAATAAATTCACTGATCCAAATCAGGCCCACCACATGGTACCACCCCATGTACTGCAGAGGCCCAGAAACTCTGAACTCCACAAAGCCTTGGTCATTCTGAACAGCGCTGCCTAGGAAAATATCAAGGAAGGGAAGAAGAAGCACATAGAGTATAAAGCAAAAAATACGGCTATTTAAATGTAAGAGATGAATTACCAACAGTAGGTCCCTACCCCCTCCACCATATACCCCCACACTTTATGATCACAGTGCTATTTCATTCATCACTTGTAAGGTTGTGAAACCAAACATTATATAATTAAGCATTTTGTTTTCCTCAAAGGCATAATATATAGCTTTTAAAAGTTGTTCTGTTTGAATATAGTTCTTACCACGTTGCCAGTTATTTAGTTCAGGCATGAATTTTCAGACATTTCACCTTTTTTTTTTTATTCAGAGCAATTAATTGTCCAATAATTACAGATCTAAATTATTAGCAAAGTATAGAAGCTAATATTAGATCCAACTGGTAGATGTGTGCTGAATGGCCAGAGAAGTTACATACAAGTTTACTCTCCTTCACTCCTCACAGTTTACTCCATTCAGGCATCACCTTTAATATTAAGCAACAAGCAAGAGTGAGAGTCTAACTATAAACTGCATCATCACTAGGAGCTCTACCCAGATTCAAGTCACTTCCAGACTAGAAATCACTAAGGAAGCAAGTGGATTTTTGGCAGTAACTGGGGTTGAGGCAACTCCAGAGTGGTTCTGCATTCATTAGCTCATCTTAGAATGGATCCAAATGTCTGAGTTAGTACAGAAGTTCACCTCAAATCTACAGTGATCTCAACACTAGCATGCAATTTCAGGACTTACCTGGTTTAGACTTACTTTTCTAGGATGATCTAAAAGTCCTAAGTAGGGAATGTGTTATTGAAGAGCCATAACTACTGCTAGTTCTGATGGCTATTAGACCTTAGTCAATAGACATCTTAAAAATTATATCTTGCTGATGGCTTAAAATATGTTAGTGCAAATCAGATTCACTACTAATAAGGAAGCGACATGTCTTCTTACCAGTAGTACCAAGAAAAAGGAGTGTCATGACCCAGTATGCCCAAAAAAGGACAAGAGCGAAGAAAGTCCAGAAGGGTTGGAAGACTAGCAGAGGCAAGTGAATGAAGACCTTGCCAGCCACATGGAACAAGGCAATGGTGAGAGCAACACGTTTGCGCATAACCAACATTATCAGGAACAAGATAACCTGTATGGAGAGGATGGGAGGAGAGGTCACAGTTACTGTTAAAAGCAGTGAAAAAACTGAACAATGGTGGACAATTTTAACATAACTCTGCATTCCAAAATGGGAAGTGTTCCCTGAAATACCAGTAATACTTACCAATCTGTATTGCTTTTGTGGCACATCATTTTCATTTATATACTGAAAATGTCCTTTAAAGCTAAACATAAAATGACTTCTTGATTAATTAATAAATCCTCTAATTCATCTACCTTTCCTTACTTGACTTACTATGAATCAAATCATGTTGTCAGTCATAATGAGCCTTTTGATTTATTTGAATGGATATATGCTTGTCCTTCTGAAAATAGGGAAGAAGACCATATGCTATGACTACAAAAACACAGGAGGTATTTCTATTTCATCTTCCTTATTGGACCAAGAGCTCCTTCAGAGCAGGGTCCATGTCAGTCACCCTTTGTCCCCCTTCACCCATCCTGGCAACTGGCACAGAGAACTTCCTTCAAGATGATTAATAAATATTTATATTATAACAAATATCTTTTGGCACCAGTGGCTTTATGGTGGCTTTACATTTTGTTTCTAATGCTCAATAAAAAGCTTGAGATTGGTCCAAGAAGCAGACTGAGATTTTTTTCCCCCTTTTTCAGAGAGAAGAAGGAGATGAACCACAGATACAAGTACTGATTATTTAACCACATGTTAATTAGTAAAGCTCACCTATATTTTTGAAATAATGTTAAAAGAAAAGCTTAAAAGGGAAAAATGGGAAAAAAATAAGTGCACAAATAAATGGAACAATATGAGGTGGTGTATTTCTTAACATACTTTCCACAGTAAAGGGAACTTTTAAAAAGTAATTACATTATCCTATGATAGCAAGAAACACGCTCTTCCTAGCAAATGATAATGTAAATATTTTAGGTGAAATCCTCTCTCAAAAAGTTGTTCTATTTGAATACTGCATCAGATTAGGGAGGCCTTGGGAAGACATTTTCCTGCCACATTCTGTGGGACAGATTTTATCTAAAGGAAATCAGGGTTAGGCATACAATAGCTACAGGTGAGTTTCTGCTTCAATAATGAGCTCCTATAAATAAAAATGTAAACCTAAAAGATAGACCTAGGCCTATACTCACTGTGAACACTGTAGCTGAGATGGCATAGATGAGGAGGGCCCGAAGATTGTCTTCAGCTATCTGAAGCTGTTCTGGAATAACTGTTTCTTTGGGAGACCTTCTTTGCTTTGCATACAGCCACCACAGTACACCTGTGCCCCCTGGGGACAAAAACAATTGTTTTTGCAATAATTAGCACAGGAAAATGTGTAATATAAATCCTTAATCCCCTGGATGCTTCTTATACCTCATTGTGGAACTAGCGCAGCAGCAATCTGTTGGGCTGGGAGGTGTGTGGCTATAACTTTGGCCAGCAGAAAGGAAGCTCTAATTCCTCCAGAGTCATCTTCCACAATAGGCACTTACAAGTCTTTCAGTGTGGCAAATAAACTTATTGAGGAACTGGTCACAAGAGAACCCTAGCCTCTGTTTAAGTTGGGGAGCCTCTAAGAGGCAAATAAAGGTAACAGGAATCAGCAATGAAGATGAGAAAGGGCAAAGACCTATGTTGTACTCATCACAGTAACCTAAGTGCCTACTGCTGACAGTCATGCAGTTTATAAAATATTTGTACAATGAATAAATGAAGATCAAAAGAGTAGTTCCCACCAAAGGCAGGAATAAAGATAGGAAATCTCTGATGGAATGACAGCAGTGGGTGCTGGGGATGAGAGCTTTATCTCCATCACTACTTCAGAGATCCTGAGAACTAGACTGAAGAGGGAGGCAAACCTGCTCCATATCAGAGCACTGCATCACACACCTTCATTCAGTCCATTCAGCAAACATGCTGAGTGTCCGTAGTATCTACTGTTCTAGGTGCTCAGGACAGACCAAAAGCCAAGTCCCTACCCTCACCTCTTATGGAGCTCATACAGGAATAGGGAAGCAAAAAAATAAGGCAACAAGTAAGAACACAGTATATTAAGTCTAAGAAAGAAGTATCCCGGTAAGAGGGATGCAAAGTGCTGGGGCTAGGAAAGCATCACAATTTCTATAAGGTGGGTAAGCAAGGCCTCACTGGTGAGATGATATATGAGCAAAAGAACCAAAGACAAGGAGAAAGTAACTGATGAAATTATAAAGGAAGAATATTCCAGGGAAGAGGTAACAGCAAGTTCTAAGATGCTGAAATGAGGCCATGCCTGGCAGGGTATAAAGGAGGAGGCCATTGTGGTTACTGCAATGAGTAAGGGGAAAAATAGCAAGAGATGTGGGCTTCAGGGAGCTGGGGACCAGATCACACTGTAAGGCCTTATAGGCCATCATAAGGATGGGGCCAGTTCAGAGTAGAAATGTGTATATATAAGTGGACAAGATAAATGCCTGGGAGATAAGAACCTGGGCTGAGGTCTAGGCAAGCCAACGTGATCTCTACCTGCTCTCAAATAGAGCGAATGGTGTCAAAGGGAAATTCCAACACTACCTGTTGGCAGATACTGAACATAAATTTTTCTTCTATTAAGTATGAGTAAATAAACCAAAACAACCTGGAGCCTATAAAAATATTTCAGAAAAAGAGAAAAACTTCCATTTTAAAATCTTGAAGGTACAAGACAGTTGTTTGGAAAACTGTTTAATATCCTCAAAAATATGGAATAAAACAAGTTCTCTATAAACAGGAATAAAAAGTTATGAGAGAAAGGCTGAAGTTCAAGGAAAACAGAATGAGATAATAATGATGACATCAAGAAGGACATTGATACTAACAGCCACAGTAGATATAATTTATTAAACCTCTAGATTTGTGCTAGGAACTGCACAGTAGGTACAATCACAATATTATTAAGTGGGTATTATTAGCTCAACTTTACAAATGGTAAAATTGAAATTTAGGAAAGTTAAGTAGTATGCCAAATGTCACTTACCTAGTGAGTGGCAGATTTGGGATTCAAATCTACTTTTATTGTAAAAACTATTCATCTGTTGACTGCATGTTTGTATTCCCCCATAACTCTTGTATTAAAATCCTGATCTCTAATGTGATGGCATTTAGAGATGTGGCCACTGGGAGATGACCAGGTCATAAGAGTGGAGTCCTTATAAATGGGATTAGTGGCCTTATAAGAGAGACCTCAGAGAGCTCCTTCCCCACTTCTGCCACATGAGGACAAAGCAGGAAGGTGGCTGGAAATAAGAAGCCAGTCCTCACCAGGCACTGAATCTGTTGGTGCCTTGATATCAGACTTTCCAGCCTCCAGAACCATGAGAAATAAATGTTTATAAGGCATCCAGTCTATGGTTCTTTGTTACAGAAGTCCACTCTGATTAAGACACCATCTAAATACAGAATCAGATACGAAGGCTACAACCTGAAATGAAAAGAACAATGGCCCGGGAAAGGAAGAACTACAAATAAGATGAATGGAAAGAACCAAACTAGTACAGAACTGACAGTGAGGAAGAGTGAATCAGCAAAATAGAAAATGAACTTGAAGAGTTCTTCCTGAATGTTAAGAACATGACAAAGAATTAAAATGATAATTTAGGAGATACAGCATAAGAAGAAAACCACTGGAACAGAAACAATAGTCGAATAAAGAAATAAAGAAAACTTCAAAGTTGAAAAAGATTCCCCCCACCTCACAAATAACCTTAATTAAGATTCAGAACTGATTAGATATAAGGTTATGGGCAAAGGAACAACATTTATCTAGTTAGCAAGTTCTTTTCTGAAATAAAGTACAGACACAGGGAACATATTGTACCTCAAGAATTTTTTATGCAGCAAATTCAATATTCACATATAAAGCAAAGACAACCTTAGATAATCAAGAGTTGAGAAAATAAATGACCCACAAGTCCTTCATAAATAAGTTATTTAAATTCAGATTCCAGTCAAAACAAAGATGAACTGAAATTAAGAACTCAACAATAAAGTTTTCTGAAAATAGGACCAGTAGTTCTCACAAAAACTAGGACAGGAGAACTTTAATATAATTATGAAACTTTTTAAGGCAAAGATAAGCAAAATTCGTTAAAAAGATATAGTGTCAAATAATACCTCAATGTTAATAATAATCTGAATACAAGAACTCATATTATTTAATAAGAGGTAAAAAGTAGGAATGGACAGAAGAAAGTAAGGTTGAAAAGGGAGAAAAGTTTATGGTAAATTTAAAGGAGACAAGGGAAAAACTCAACATTTATCATTTCCATTCAGCCGTTAATAGAAATCATCTAGGATTCTAGACTGAAGAACATTTTCTGAAAATGTATAGTTACCAACTATAGAAGTGATAATAAAATAATATCACCATCCAATGCAGGGGTGAAAAAAAGCTAAACATAGTTCATATAGGAAAGAGAGAACAAAATAAAAAAGTATATATTTAAGAAAAACATAAAACAGATATCAGTGAGACCACATATATATGAGATAGGATTATTAATGTAATGAGGTCAAATTCCCCTACTAAAACAGTTTCACATTGGGCTGAAACATTTTAACTTACACACACACACACACACAGAAAAGTTCTGGATTTCAAATGTTCACAGTGATGAACTGAGGGGGGAGTCCTAAATATAATTATGAAATTTAAAAAGACAGAAGTAAATTCTCTTTAAAGAGAAGATGTAGCATAGGAAAATAAAACTGTTTTCCTTTTTTATCTATTTATTTCTATATTTCTATTTTGTACCATGGAAGCAGTTAGATACTATGAAGAGGTGTCACATTTATAATTGGGAGGGGAGAGATTTTTTTTATCAGACAATAAACACAGAAATCCTGGAAGGTTTCATTAGAAACAGTAAAACAAAAACAGAAAACAAAATAATGTCATTAGAAAAACAACTAACAAAATGTAAACACATACACAAAATTATCCTGCCAGGGACACTTTTCAATTAGCTAGAACTTAAACACCTTAAAATGGCTGGATCAGGCCGTAAACAAGTGCAAGTTAAAAGGAAAGGGTCCCTTCACTTGCCAGGCAGGGAGCACTGGAAGAATCAAGCAAAAATTAAAGAACAAGAAGTGGAGCCTCAATCAAATGCATTCTTTCCTCTTGGACTCTTTCCCCAAAACTGATACTGACAGAAAAATGTTAGCTTCCTTTAAAAAATATCTCCACATGCTTTTATTCCAAATGCCATTGACCTTGCTATTTTATCTGATACAGTGAACTAACTTTAATGTAATCCGTTTACTAGTCTTTTTACAGCTTACCAATGAATTAAAAAGCCTTACTAAAGAAAAGTTATTTAAAATAAAGTAGTTCTGAACTTAAGGAAAAGCAAACTTTCTCAATTCTAATTACTAAAAACAAAGGAATAAGCAGCTTACCAAGTGAACCCAGTATGACCAGAATGGTTAAGATCCACACAAGCACTCTTGATATATACCTGATTATCACCATCAAAATCATGGATAGAACTGCAGGGAAGATAGAGAACATGCAGAATATTATTTGGAAACATTGGAAAATGCAAAGAGAAACTCTTTCAATTGTTTTCTCATAGGGATGCACTTTGTTGCTACTGATAAGCTCATGATCCCATTTTAGGTAAGAAAGGAAACTGGCAGCTTTTGCACTTTGACTGGGGCACTTCTGCCACTTGAATAGCATCACTTGAAAGCATAGCCTCCTAACTGTGGGTTTATAAACGACAGAAAAGAATACATGCAAATGCACATGGTGACTCAAAAACAGCACAGAACTGTTGTGGACTCACCACGGGAAGACAGCAGAACTCACATACAAACACACGTGCTCACACACAAAGTGTAGAGGATGACATGTCATGTCGGTGACAGAAGAATTATCACACGCAGACAGAGATCAGTTAACCTGGGTGCTACACTTCCTTGAGTTACCTATGCATCTCAGGACCAACTTCTGTGAGGGTCAGTCCACAAGCTAGATGGCATTTTATCTTTTTCTGGTCATTTCTCCTGTAAAACTCTGGTTTGCCCCTTACAATAATACCCTGAAGCCTTCTGAGGCCAAAATTCCTCTGACTTTACTTCTCAACTGGGGTCAGAGGTCTTGATTGAGAAGCTCTTAAAAAAGGAGCAAAGCTTAGTTTGAATTATTTAGCCAGCTCCTCTCCCTATCTCACACTAAATTCCAACATGCTAAAATTTAAAGCAAAAACCTCAAAAAAGTAACTGGGAAGATTTAACCCTTGCACAGGGAAATTCATTTCTGAAATCATAATCTGTTTATTTTTAATTATGTCAAGGCCTGTTTCACGAACAAATGAACAAATATCTTTTCTAATAAAGAGGACCATTCTAACAAAAAATGGAATTCCAATGGTTTAACAACATTATTATCACTATTTTTCAGGTCTGAATTTTTTTTCTTGGTTAAAGTATTCACCTATTTCAGAAACCAAATACTTTATAAAACCAGACTAATAGTTGCTTCTTTGGGCCATTTGCAAAGCCAAAAAAATGGTTGGGATCTATGACTAAGTAACATTATTAAGTTACTCACTTTTGCAATAAGTGTACAGGAACCAAAAACAGATGGGAGCATTTCAAATATCACAGAAATAGCTTTTCATATGGACAGCATTATTTCAAATTGAGTCAAGTACTACCTACGTAAAAGGAAAATACTCTCTAATGACAACATGGAAATACACTAGTCTTCCCAATGGCTATAACTGTTAACAGCATAAATATTCATTTTACTTATATGATGAAATAGTTGTTTGGTTCCTACCACAGTTTAACCTCTCCCCACTAAAAGGGTCTATACATTCTGATATGGCTGCATATAGTTCTGGGATAGTATAGGGAGTTTACATCTTGAAAATAACATTTTTATTGATTATCTTATCTATTTATTGACCATAAAACTCAATGGCTAACAAGTGGAGATCTAATTTTTCCAGCAATACAGTGATATTATGATCTGTAGCAATGACAAAAAAATCACATATTTCTGAAATGATCAGAAATGTCTCTTTGATGGAAATATATAAGAGAACATGTGGCCTATTTTTATAAGCAAATAAGCCTTTTTGGCATCATGACTTAAAAACAAAAGGGTATTGATTCATTAAAGAAGCCTCCTGCTATTAAATTAGAAGTTATTATAGACTTAATAACCAAAGTTTGGGAAAACACCAGTTTTCTCCAATGAGAGAAAAAGAAAGGAAATGAGTCTCAGATATGTATATACATATATATAAACGTGTGTGTGTGTATATATATATATATATATATATGTATGCATATTTAAAATATGTATATACTTATAACTATGTAATTGGAAACAATTATTTTGGCTATGGGAAGTTAAACATTTTACAAGTATCCCCAGTTATATTCATATTTTGGTGAAAAGACAGAACAGTCTTCTACTGCAGTACTATGCAATAGCTAATAACGAGAAAAACAATTACCTAGTGATAACAAGCAAAGTCCCAATATAATTTCTTTGCTGGTCATTACTCCACTAATCAGCCTGTGTAAGACACTATTGTCACTGACAAAGGTGATCAGGGCCTCTGCAAACTTGGCATAGCAGGAAATGTTCACAGGAGCACAGCGATGGAAGAATGGAATAGGTGCACTGGTGACACAAGAAAAAAAATCAGAAAAAAAATTACTCCTACTTAATATAAATGCCACATCAAACACACAAATGAAAGGTGATTATGACTGCAATACACTCCACCCTCCGCACATCATATGGGAGCTAAGAGCTGTGAACTTAATGCTATGAAGATGACTGTCATGGGGAGTGATGCCAATCTTATCACAAGCCTTATTAAAGAGGGTGGAGTGCATGTTCCAACAGAAGACATTACCCTCCCCTTCTGAAAAGAAGCGCCCGCACACACACACACACACACACACACACACACACACACACACGCATACACAAAACCACCAAAAGCAAAAACGAACACTTAAAAAGTCCTCAGCCTACGCATCTGTGAATCAAGGAGCAGATGACAAAACTTACAAACATAGTTCATTGAACTGAAAATGAATTTTTGCCATAAGCTATTTAAAAATAAAAAAACACATGCTTCTGCTTGAAATGTGCCACCGTTAATAGAATGTTTCTTTTATCAGAATAGCATACAGAACCCTAGGTTAAAAAAGGTGTTTGGGGCACAAACTTACTAACTCTCATATAAATTAGACATGCTGAGACATCAACATACGGCATAGTATGGAAACACTTACGATGTGATAGTGGAAGGGAAATAACCAAAAATTTATATTTAACGTGATGACTACATCGCTGTATAAAAGATATACACTTAAGAATGAAAATATAAGAAATACAAACAAATGAAAAACCTCTGATTTGTTACAGTCATAGGATTCTGGCTACTTTCTTTTCTTTTTATATGTTCTTATTCTTATGATGAGATTATTTGTGTCAAAAAAGGAGGTAATTATCTCAGGCTTTTATTGATTGCTGCTCTTACTTGGGAAGGAACACAGTTATGTGTGAATGGTAACATTAACCTGGTTTGTTCTAACATGGCTCTTCTACTTTAGCTTCTCAGAACATAGTATACATCCGATCAGTGACGGATTTTACACAAAGCTCTGTGAGTATGTGCTCAGTTGTAATTTGGATTCTAACAGAGCCCCTATGTGTGCATGCACAAACACACACTTATGTGTGTATTACATTAAAACTTAGCCATCACTAACATGAATCCCACATTCTCAGAATTATTTGTTGGACTATCAGTCATAGCTCTAACATAACATTTTTGACCGTAACAATATAAGTGTGTTTTCACCCTTGGTTGGCACTGTATTTTGTTCAAATTAGTGGATAAGATTTGAGGTTAACCACCAAGTTCTAAGGTTTCTAATCTCAGCAAAGCAACTTTGTATGACCTGAAACAAAACACTATTTTTGTGTCCTTCCTCAAAAATAGTAAGAATATTTCTTTTCAAATAAAAATGTAAGTGAAGTATATATTGATTTTCCTTAAATGTCGGTAAATGAGCACCACTGGCAGTGAGAATAAGCAATATCTTCCATGCTGTTAAACTTCATGGAACAAGAAAGTAATATAATTTCAAAGATCTAGCCTTATCTTATGCTTCAGTAAAATGTAGCCCACAATGATGATGTGACAACGTGACATGAATATTCACTAAAAAAAAGAAAAATAGCCTCTTGTGATCTGTGGGCATATCAAAAATGGTGTTGGTAAGAGACCTTGTATTTTGTCAGGAATTGCAGAAAGCCAGAACATCCTGTGTAATGTTGAATTACAGGTGTGCAAGCCATCAATTTTTGACCAAAAGTTGTTTCACTAATGATATTAAAAGATATTAAATTATAGAATACTTTTTAGTGAAATGGATTTAGTTAGAAATATTACAGGAAAGAATAAAAAAGGATTGATTAACTGTATGTTCCTAATCAATGGAAGCTAATTTGGGACAGAAACCTTTAAACTGACAACTCTTTTGTGGCCTACAAATGTTTTTTTCCTGATGCTACCTAGATAATGTCCCTGCCAGGTTAATGTCCCTGACAAAGGACTTCTAACCATATTTTCAACTAAAGCCTGGTTCTCCATCCTTCAAAACTAAAGTCCTCTCTGCTCCACGATTATCTACATTTACATCTGCTATATCTATTACCCTATAATATGAGTTGCATTTTTTTCCTGATGCTACCTAGATAATGTCCCTGCCAGGTTAATGTCCCTGACAAAGGACTTCTAACCATATTTTCAACTAAAGCCTGGTTCTCCATCCTTCAAAACTAAAGTCCTCTCTGCTCCACGATTATCTACATTTACATCTGCTATATCTATTACCCTATAATATGAGTTGCAGTCTCCATTTAACTCACTTGCCTCCAACCTTGAATATAAAATATATCCATCTTAAGGATACTGATGCCATTTTCTTGTTTTTAATATCCACCAATTTTCTTGACCCTGCTCTCCGGTTTCCTTTTACCTGTCTTATAGCAGGAGTGAAACAGAATTCTCTCTCCAGAGGTGGCTTCACCTACATCTCCCAGATCCTAATAAGATATTGATGTATTTTTATGCACAAAGAGAAATTATACATCATTTCCAAAGGACAGTGGAGCCTCTGATAAGGGAAAGAAACCTGGACTTGGGTTCAAAATCCCTGGGCAATTTTCCTAACACCACACAGCTGCATGATGCTGTCTCTGTTTCTCAGTTCCTCCATCTGTTAGATGAAAAGTTAGGAGTAAGTCCTCTGTAAGGCTTTTCTGATATTAATATAATAATAATAATAGAGGTTACCCATAAATCTAAATTGATCAAGGCAGCATGCCCAGTGGCTTTAGTATTCTTCTGCTTTTCAGACTTATCATGAGGACAGCTGATTTGAAAAGGGAAGAATTATACTCTTAAAACTCTAATCCTTTATTTTTACTTAAGAGGAAATACTGAGTAATCATATGCTCCAAATTTATCCTTTCACATTATTTTTATACTGTACATATAAGCACTTGGACAATTGGAAAGAGTACTATTACAAGTATTCAAAAAATGGAACAAATTACAGCAGTCCCTTATCTTATAATTACTTACGTCAGTTAAACTTGACAGCTCTAAATCTGAAAGTATAAAATTAGCACTGATTAACTAACTACATTGTCTAGCTGATGGTCAAAATGATCAAAATCTGTCCTAGTGGTAAGTTATATGAGAAATAGAAGGGAAATAAAGAAAATTGGACATGGTGGTTAAATAATAAAATTAAATACTTAGCTTTAAAGCAAAAAGCACTAGTTTCCTTGTTTGTCATTTCTTTTCTGATCTCTTCCCTAAACAAAAACAACTTGACCAGCCATGAGTTTTTAATACTTAAATTATTTTCTTATTAAAAAAAATAAGTAAACACAGCAAATACTGATTATTTAAATAAATGATTATTTTTGGGAAAAAAATCCAAGTAATTATGGCACTGAATTACTGTGTCTTTTATTTTACCATTTAAATCCCATGTGATATCATGAATTTAAGATGAGATGAGTTAGGTGATTTCATATACCTCTCAGAAAATAATACTTCTGAGAACTAGTATCTGGGATCATTTCTACTTTAGTGTCTAATCTAAATCATACACTTTGTGCTTCCTATTAAGAGGACAACATAAAGAATTCTATTTACAGTAAGTTTTCTTACTATATGAAAGCCCACAGAATACTGAATCTTCAAGAAGTCAATGTAGTTCCATTAGGACTTTATGGTGTATTAGTCAGTGAGAACAAAATGAATTTATAATGAGTCTTTTAAAGATTTTTTAAAACTAGCCACTCACAGGAAGATTGTATCTTACCTTGGCAAACACACTGGCCATTTGCCTTTAAGTCCAGACTACCACAGTTAATGGGCTCCTTCAAAGTCTGATGACAAACAATCCTAATAGCTCTTGCCACACACCTTCATAAGACAGGAGTTTACACCTCACACAACTATTTAAAAGCTTCAGGTTGTAAATAAGCAATTATACATGACTTCTAATTGAAAGTTTTATTTAAGAAATAATAACAATAAAGGGCTCTGGAAATATCTCTATAGCACAGAAAACACAGGAAAAGTCAAGAATCTAGTGGTAATATGCAGTAGTTTCACACATTTCATTTTATTTCTTCTTTCATTCTTTTTTTTTTTAAACTAACTGTGGTATAGGCTTTACAAGATCTTAGATTCAAATTCTGATTTCCAACAACTGGTTGTGTGGCCTTGGGTAACTCCTCTAACCTCTTTTATCTTCTATTTCCTCATCTATAAATTAGGGACAATATCCTTACAGGCATTTGTGAGGGTTAATGAGTTAATACATATGAGAAGCTTAGTATGGTGGCTGGCACACAGTAGATGATTAATCAATGTTAATTTACCTTGAATCCTTCATTTTAAAAAATGAATGGATAACATTTTTTTCTTGGCTATTAATTTCTCATTTCCATATCATGTTATTAATTCTCCAACACTGACTATCCTTTCTGGCATCCAGAAATACCAAAATTAATGTTCGGTGAATGAAATGAATTTTGCATTCTGTTTCTAATACTGCAGTTTCCCCTAGTTATACCTAAACCTTTAAGCATTTTAAGTACATGAGCTGGCTAGTCTCCCTATTTTACTAGATTTAGCATATCAATAGAGAGTTGTGAATTTGGATAAAATATGGACCTTTCTAGGTATTTGCTTTTAAAATTCAAATGCTTTCAGAAATAGTAATCCATTTGGCAATTATGTGGCACCAGTGTTTTAATGCACATTAGTCTATAATTGCATTTCTCTAAAATTGGCACTGCTTTCAGCTGCAGAAGGGGGCTAGGCCCTCAGCAAGGTTGAGAAAAATAATATTCCTTAAGCCACATGCCAAGAACAATAATGGCTGTTTAACACATATTATCTTATTTAATTCTTACAATAATTCCATGTGTGAGGTATTAATCTTTCTAATTTACATGTGAGCAAAGCTGGTTTATAGAGAGGTTAAGAGATTTTTCAGCTTCCAAATAGAAAGTGGTGACACAATTCACCCCCAGGCCTATCTGGACTCAGAGCTCAGTTCTTTCTGATCCACTAGGGTACTCCTAGGAGGACAAGAAGAAAGAAATGAAAGATGCATAGGGGCATGTGCCTGCATCACAGGCTTGCCTAGTGCTAGACTTTTAATGGCTATAGATAAAGTCATAAAATACACAGTTCCCACTTTTTTTTAAAGACAGAGTTTCTTAAGGACTGATACTAATCTCATTCATCTCTAAAGATGTATCTTTACTGTAGTATCTAATACTACATGTGGAACAGGCTAGTGCCCCAAGTTTTTTATTAAAACAAATATATTCTTATTTTCCAATTTTGCTTGCCAAATACTAAAGGATATTATTTATAAGGTCCTAATTTGCCTTCCATCAACTTTCTCTTCTCTTTTACTTTCCAATAGGCTGAATTCAGACAAAGTGACAAGATACTTAGATTGTAAGGTAATTACATAGAAGCATAAGTACCTTAAAGTAAAACATGAGGCTCTTTAAATACAAGTATAAACATAGTATCTGGTCAGTTTTGAGATGGTATAGGTTCATCATTGCATCTTCGATTACTGAGACATTAGTGGATGACTTTCCTAGAAGCCAAATCTGGCCATCTCTAGAACCCAAACCCCTAATACTATGTTTTGTCTTCTAGTGAATGCCCTTAGGATGCCGTATGTGAGATGTGCATGTGTGCAGCCATGCTGGGACACCCAAGCTAACCAGGAACAGGTATTCAGCAGCATGTAGAATTCAGAGGTCAGAAGTGGAAAAGGATCTGTAACACGAGCTGCACTCTACCCCCTCCCCACCCATATTACACAGAAGCAGAGCAACCTCATCCTCACACCAAGGCTTTCTGACTGTCCTTTTATAATATGTTAATGCCTTGAAGGAGTGACTCTATACTCAAAGTATGCATTTAAAACAGGTTTTAGCAGTTGAGTAGATAAGAAGACAGAGCTTTTCTTGTCTTTACACTGACAAATTTATTTCAATGACTATTCAAAGGACCCCCTTTTCTTCACTGTCACAGCCTACCTAATCTCAGTTTTCATGAATGGTATCTCTTTATCTATTGGTCTAAACCCATAATTTGTGCATCTTTCTTACTTAGTATCTTTTAGAATAGTCCCATTACTTTTGAGGCATAGGCTTTAAATTTTAATCTCGACAGCAACTTGACAAGACTAAAGTAGACCTGGAAATCGGTTAAACTGGTATAACCTTTGTCTACTTTTCAACAGAAAATTTCAAATTCAAGTTAATAAAGCACAAGTTGTTCCTATCAGCAACCCAAAGGAAAGTTGACATAGATGAATCTCAAAATTTTAACCAATATACTGAAATACAGTAAGAGTGATTTTGTTTCAGGATTCCTGGAGAAGTTGACTCATGTCATGCATGTTTAGTGATACATGCTATGGTTCTCAAGATGAGAGGTGCTCCAAATCCTCTACACCTAATTCTAAGGATATATGCTACAATGCTTGAGAATTTATTTCCTTTTTAAAAAATCTATTTATAATTTTAAAATTTTTCTTTATTTACAACTACTGTGAGATCCTTCCAAACAAAGAACATTTATTTCATCTTTGTATCCATCATACATAGTAGGTACTTAATAATATATGTTTCTTGAATAAGACTTTGGATAAGATATGGCAAACAGCCTATTACAGAAAATAGAGCCTGAAAGCCTAAGGGATAGAGCCTGAAATGAACTATGAAGAATAATCACTGGCATGTTTTTTAAACTTACAAAGTAAATTGAAAAATAATCCCAGTAAGTATTATTAGGATCAACTTCAAAGAATCTTTGACGACTAGGGGATTTGGCTTCTAATTCTGTTGTATGTTTTATAATGATTGAGCAGTTTTGTATACTTAAAAATCACAGCATTGAAAAAAAAGTGATCCACCCTCCCACCCAAACAGAAAATATCTGAGAATGAAAAAAATTCTTTCCTCTATGTGCCTTTTTTAAAGAAAAGATGTGAAATACATGTTTTCATTTCTGTTACTATTTTTAAATTTCTGTTGTAAAAGTACTGGACCTGGGCAATAAGTATCATCAATGACTCTTTTCTCAGAATAACATGTACAGTTTACAATCTACCTACAAAAACAAAAGTCACAAGTTAACAAAATACAATAAAATTTACCTCGCTGGAACTGGTAGTTTAGGGCAAAGAACAGAAGCTTTTGAAGATGTAGTATATTCAGAAGGCTTTAGGTTGTAGCTACATAGTGCTGAACCTGTTGAAAGAAAAGCTATGTATTAGCTAGCAGAACAGTCTGAATAAATTCTTATCAATTCGCTTTAATTTTATTTTATGTTAATATTAAGTCAACATTTAGAACTTTCAAACATCATAGGATTAGTAAGAATTTTATTTGGTCTATAATATCAGTCTCAGTCATTTAAAACTGATTCTTCTCCAGTAATTTATGTACAAATTTTAATTAATAATATTAGGGGTGATGACAATAAGTCCTAGAACTACATTTCTTGAGTGTCTGCCGTAATGTCAGACCCTATACCAGATGACATACATACTCATATACAGATATATAAGTTTTAAATAGTCAAATGTTAATTGTAACTGACTAAACTGCATCCAGGATGTCTCTCAATTACTGAACAAAGGAAACAAAATTCTTCTATTAAAGAAACCAAGAGTTTTTGCCAGCTCAGCACTTCTGAGGGTTAAGCCAAGAGCACCCCATTTCTAAGGATGGCCTTGTTCCCCAAGTAAGTTTCTCACCCTAAGAGGAGGGTTGGGGATGGGTAAGGAACCTGTCCCCTCCTCCCATTATGCTGGGAAGTCTTAGAAAGTCACTGGTGGATAAGCCTCTCCTCTCACCACATATGTACATATTAATTATATCATTTACTACAACTCTGTTAGGCAGGCAGTATTAAGTCCACTTTCTAGAAGAGCAAACAAGAGGCTAAGAGGATAAATAACTAGCCCAAGATGACATAGCTACTGAGCAGCAGAGCTGGGATTAAACCCTATATTTCACACTACAAAACATCCTTAACCACACATACCATCTTTCTTTCTCCTATACTTTCTAGTACTAAGTATTTAATATTATAGCATATAGCACAATGCATTCAGATAATACATGACTTTTTTCTTATTTAAAAGGCAGGAAACACTAACTATAAATAAATAGAACAAATTGATAAAAGGATTCCCCATTTTCATACAGTTTAAAACAGCTTAAATCCAATCCTAAATTGGTCATGCAAACCATCTGTTTCTCTGCCTATATGACTAATATATATCTTGATAATATATAAAATTCAGATGCATATGGTCCACCAAATCCTTAAGAAGTATTATCTTACTTACCTGCTAATTTTGTAATATAGCAACTACAATAATGTAAAGTTCATCATACAATAGATATTGTTAACTGAGAAGATCTAGGTGATAGTTCTAATTCTGCTGAGGACCTACTGTGCTCTTTCATATAAACTGTTTATATTAATAATTTGGGTTCTTACCAGATTATAGATTTGGTCAAACACTTTAATATTAAGTATAGATAGAATAGCTTTGTATTTATATTTTAGCAATAATGGACTTTTACACTGTAACATCATTGAAAAAAATGTGAAGTAAAAATTGCAGATTTTAACACTGAACTAATGGAAACATCAAGTGAGGATATGAGAAGCAACCATAAGGGAATATAGAAAAACAGCTCATTAGGACAACAAAATTGGGACTTTATTTCATTTATACCTTGTCCTATCAGTCAAAAGAATTTTTAGAAAGCCACAAACCAATATTTAATTCAATAATGCTGTCCCCAAACCGGCAACCAACTTGCCAAGTGTTTAAATATGTGGGCTGTAATGGCAATATTTACATAAATAACATGTAGCATCTATTTTATATAAAGATAACTCAAATAATTTGACAATGTAGAATACTTTTAAAAAGACTTGAAAGTTACATGACACTGTGCTTAAGTTTTTCCACCTTAAGATAGACACCGTAGGAAACTAGATTTTTTGAAATTGTTTTTGATCATTGTTTCCCATTTTAATGACTTATTTTTAAGTGAAGCATGAATACTAAATATCTAACTCTTCTAAAACTAGTTTTCCATGTTCGAAGATAATGCTACTGAATTCTACTTTTGGTAATTTTAGAGAAAACATGATAGCAATGGCAAGCAAACATTTCAATTAATCCTGAAATAGCTGGAGTCCATTTATAGAACTGCTCATGAAAAAATAGCAACCGTGCCAATAAGTGCAGACCACCAAATGTGATCATGAACTTCCTGATCTGAATTGTCAACTTTTCAGAGTCCAAGATGGAATCGATTTGCACTTTGCACAATATAAAAAAGTCATTTGTGTCTGTGCCATCAGTCACACTGCTCCATCTGAATTCACTAACATAATCTCCACCCCCACCTTTTCTTCATTTAAGAAAGGAGGTCAGCAGGTATAACAGAGTTCAATTTCATAAATACTTTCCCAGGATAATGCTCAATGAAAGGATAATAGACTTATCTCTGATGGTATTCTGGGACATAGGCCAGTACTAAATAGATCCTGCACTAAATAGATTAAAGAAAAAGATCTTTACAATGTATTAGTAGTAAGTCTCAGAAGAAACCTTACACTGCTTCCTGCTCAAAAGGCTGATGAACAAAGAAGCCTCAACGAAGAACATTAAAGCAACCTAGTAAAGGCAAACATTTTACAATTGTTTTTCTTCTCATGTTTATTAGCTAACGCATTTTCAGTGAGCATTTTTAAGGTAGTATCTAATTTTTTTTCTAGAATGGAAGTATACACAACACTTAGTGCAAGAGGCTTAGTCATAAACTGTAAGAACATTTTTCTTCTAATGGAAAAAGTAGGGAAAAACCATACTTGAATTATAAAGTCTAAAACAAAAAACAAAAGCTTACCTAAACCACACTAGAGGCAATCCATGCACCTCAGCCAATGTTATTCAAAGGCCATCAAAATGAGGGATCTTAGGAACCTAACCTGGGTATATAAACATTTATCTTGGTAAATGGTTGCTATAGCCTCAGAATGTTTAACTACTACAGTTTTTCAAATGCCTTATATTATTCAATTATTTATTCTTCAGCTCAATATCACTTGTTACGTCACAACTCTCCTAAGAGGTATGTTTCCATCACCATGCTGTAAACGTGACAGATGAAAAAATAATACTTCTAAGGCCTTATAAGTGTTAGGTAGAAAGACAGAAATGAGCAGGATGGAAAGGAGAAAGGGCCCCCTAAATATGACTCAGGGAGTTGATCAAATAGAACCAGAAAGCCAGAAATGACTCAAAGAGTTAATCAGATAAAGCCACAGGGTCCAAGAGCGACTCAGGAAATGTCCAGGGTCCCCCCAGATAAGAAATATCAGAGGCACAGGCACAGCACAGCCCCTGTCCTCATTTCACCAATCAGAACAAGCCTAGAGAGCTGACAGTTGTCAATCAAGGATCTCTCTGCCCTGCCAAAAACCACATAAAAGAAGCCTCAAAATGAGCATCAGGGCCTGCCTGTCTTATCTTAGGCAGGCCCGCTCTATTACTCTATGCAGAGTGTATTAAAACTTACTTTGCTTTCTTGACTTTGGTCTCTTGTCTCACTATCACTGACTTCCCTGTGACACCGAGCAGAGTCCTTTCCTTCCTAACATAAGCAATCACTGGCAAATTTAGAAATAGAACTTTTTACTCCCAGAATTCTTTACACATGCTTCTCCTGTATCATTCCTAATAATAATAAAGAATTATCCATCAGCTACTATTGGCATATACCAGGCACACAATAATTCAATACCAGGCAGACAAGTATTCAATAAGCTCCTGGGCAAAAAACATATGTGCCAGATGCCTCAAAAATAGCATGTTTGAAAAAAAAAAAAGACATTTCCATCATCCATCCACTCTCCAAATATGTTCTGCCTCCTCCTGTGTATTTTCTATCCTGGTAAATGTCTCCATCAACCATGAAATCCCCAAGATGAAATGTGGAAGTCATCCTATATCTTCTTTATCTACTGTCTTCCCATACCATTCAAGACTTTCAAGATAACAAGTCCTGACAATCTGATCTTTCTATATTATCTCAGACCTTCATAATCTCTTATTGGATCACTTAAAACTACTCTTCCAAAGGGTTTCTCATCTATATCCTGCACACAACCTTCAGAATGGTCTTTGTAAATTAGGCATTAGTTGTATTACACCCTGCCCTCAGGTAAATTTCAATCTCCTTGCCTGCAAGGCCCTCCTAAAGCAGGTCTATATCTAAAACTCTAGCCTCATCTTGACATAAAAAACTACTTACAAATTCTTGCTGTTTAACACATTTCCAGTCTTTTTCACAAGCTGTTCCCTCTGCTTGGGTTGTCCTTTCCCAACATCTGAGAGAGCATTCGAGTTTGCACAGTATTTCTATCAACCATTCAAGCTTCACCTCCTCTGTTAAGCCTTCTCTGACGCACCCAAACAAGCAAC